TTTTTTCTCGTTTTCCTCTGTCATGCCCCACGTTGGGTGCCATTTTATTTTGTGATCTTCAGTTGTTATTTTCGATAGAGAAGAACCTTACTGATTATAGGACTAATGAATGATAACGAAATGGAGAGGAAAGAGTACCATATTCCTACCGAATACTCTTGCAATTGCATCTCGTCACTCTAACTAGACATACATGTCTTTTGAGCATATGGTGTGTCAGGCCTACCATAATACTCAACAGCCTCAACCTTAAAGGGGAATTCCGGGGTCAGAACAATCTATGCCCTTTTAAAAGTACACATACCAGTAATAGCGGAATAGGCATCCTTTTTCTTCAAGACTTCTCTGGTAATAATCCATCGACAAACAAAGTTACCAAATTCTGCCTTTTATGCCGGACGCCATTTTGCTGAATACCCGCTGGTTCGACGGTTGGCCTCGTTTTTGTGAAACGGATTTTGACGTCATCGTCTTGCAACTTTGAATTTTTGGCGGTAAATCTGTGACTACTCGTTCATTGAGATCGGATTTGTTCGTATACATGGTTTTAGGATTTCAACACCACAACATCACCTCATCATGGGTTAGGCCAGGCACTGTAAAAGCGATTTGACATCCGATCTCCTAGATGCCTATGGTTTTTGGCTGCAGTACTAAGACTGGTGTACACCCAAACATGTCGACATTCAAGATTCCTGATCCTTTCAGATTTTAGGACCGAAACAGCAAATAATTTAAAAATGAAAAGGAAAGGGCCCAGAAATGGTTGCACTGCCTAAAGAGTGGATTTGCTGTAGGTACTTTTAAGTTTACAAAGGACAGAAGACTATGTGAAAAGCATTTCAAGCCTGAGATGTTTGGAGAAGACCTTCAAGCCAAATTGTTAGGATATGAGCCATCCTGTAAAAAACTCAAGCCAACTGCAGTGCCTACTCAATTTCCTCATTGCAAAAAGCCCACTGACCCAAGAACTTTTAGTACTAAAAGAGCAATGAAACGTGACAGAAAACAGGTATGTTTGCTTAGGCTTTCTCTTTTCTGTCTCTCCAAGGCCTCCAAGGCTTTCTCTTTTCTGTCCAACTCTCCTATTTGTTTGTTTATTTATTTATTTATTTATTTATTTACTTTATTTATTCATTTACTTTATTTATTTATTTTCAGACAATCAAACATTCAAATTCTCAAAAATATTTCTAATTTCAGCTCATCAGCCAGCTACTGCAGTCACCTTAAACCAACAAGACCAAGAAGATTTCAAAACAATCCTCTAAGAAGCAAAAGGTACAGACAAAATTGGCTTCTTCTTGACTTATCAGATATTCATAAATCATAACCTTGATAAATCAATATTCAAGCTGTTGATGAGCAATGATTAAGGGATCATCCATAATCATCAACATTTTCAAAAAGGTACAAAACATATGCTGGACCAGCGTCGCTGGGAGGGAGAGGGTGAATAACCCTTGTATGTATTTCAAAGAGGTGAAAATGTTGATTATTTTCTGCTTTTTAATTTCAGGAGGACAATTACCTAACATGTATTGACGATTACCAAGGGTGTAGCCAAAGGGGGTGCGGAGGGGTGCAGCACATTCAGTTTGTTGGCAAGTTGATGTAATATAATGGTGTTTTCTTTTTAATCTTTTGCTATGGCTCTGTATGCAGGGTGTCCATACCCCCAGGAAAACCTTATGTTTGTCTGCAAATTTTTGGATGTGCACCCCCAAATGATTCTCTTTAGCTTCGCCCCTGATGGCCTTTTGCCATTATTGTAAGTGTGTTTGCAATTTACAATTTTTCATCTTATAGATAACAGGGCTGTTGGGTATGGTTGCCATAGCTCTATCATCTTATTATTTATCCCCTCTACTTCATGTTCAATAAAACATTCTTCAAAATGATAAGATTCTTTCAAAATTTGTTCCACAAACAAAACTCTTGTAACCATTCTCAATTGAAAGAAAGTGAAATACAAACACAGAAATATGCAGCAACAACATCGATGAATATCTCTGTAAGACAGATGAAGAGCCAAAATACGACATTGTCGAAGCTGGAACACAGACAGAACCTAGAGAAGATCTTTTTTACCGACCTAGACACTTTCTTGCCTCTGCAAATCATGACCACACTTACTTCCTGTCTCCACATAAACAATCTATCATATAAAAACTGAAAATTCGGCAAGAAAATATTTTTGTAGAGGAAAAAGTGGATCCATGTGACTTTAAAGGTAACAAAACTGAGAATCGCCAGAAAAAAGCCAACAATGGGAATCAAGTTTCCGTTGATGATTTATCCCAATCAAATGCAGGAGCATCACCAATGTTACCAAAAGAAAGTGCAAAGGAGGATTTAGAACAGTCCATGGCAAATGACACTGATATATTTGACAGTAGCTTCCATGTGTCAGATTACACAGAGTCAGAGTCGAAACCTGAAGATGAAAAGGACTTACCTAACAGAGGGGTAGATGAGAAAAAAGTCATAGTATTTGAAAGTGCTCTGGATAATTTGATCATGGAATTGAGATGTCCATTATGTGGCTTGAGAGCGTATAAAGTTCGAATAAATGTCAATGGAACAGCGATTCACATTCAGACAGAATGCCTAGAAGGACATTTAATGCTTGACTGAAAATCCCAGACATTTCTGAGGAAAATCGCAGCTGGGAACTTGTTATGCAGTGCTACAGAATTGTATTCAGAAGAAACATGTTCTCACATTGCAAACTGGGCTATATTTCTAAAAATTGGAGTTTATAGGACACAGCCAATTTTATGAAATTCAAAGAGACATTCCTGTCCCTGCAATCAGTGACACTTTTGAAGCTCACAAAAAGAAAGTTAAAGAAGAATTAACTGGTAATGAAACATGGTTCAGTGGTGATGCCAGGATTGATAGTCCCGGGTATTCTGCAAAGTATGGCTCATATAGCTTGATGGGCCAAAAATCCAAAAAGATTGTCACAGCTCAGCTTGTTCATTTGAAAGAGGCTGAAAGCTCCAATGCCTGTGAAAAGTAAGGATTCAAGAGATGCTTAGCAGAACTAGAATCGGAGAACATCCAGATTGACTTACTGACAATAGACAGGCACCCAGGAATAACAAAATTTATGAATGAAAGGGGTAAGGAGGAGTATGAATATGATCTGTGGCCAGTGGCGGCTCTTGCTAATGGGCATCTGGGGCAATGCCCCCTCAAAAAGATTCAAAGGAAATCTATGATATTCATATTTAATTTTAAAGATAGTCTTACTGTGGTTAATTATATAAGTTTGTATCTCTTCTAGAAAAAGCTCCTTGCTATCCCGTCTCGTCCTTAGCCTCGCTTCTGGCCCGCTAGTGCCTTGAGCGATGATGTCATTTTACGGGCAAAGTTTTTTTGCCCCTAGCCGACATGCGCACAAGCAAATTTTCGACCTCGAGCATTGCGAAACGCGGCCTGTGATTGGCTTATTTGGAGGAATTCGGGGCAAGAAAAATTTTGCCCATAAAATGACATCATCACTAAACAACAACCACATCTATATATGCTTTTCCTTCTGCGCTCCATGACGATCAACATCGAACCATGAATACAGTGAAAAATTTGCAAACTCGACCTTTCTATCGATTATCGCAATATTGATGGTCTGCCCTCCCAACTGTGAAAGTCACGAGCCGCCACTGCTGTCTGTGGCATGTTACAAAATCTAAAAAATTTGTCTAAAAGGATTAAGAAGAAAGGGTGTGCTGCTATTGGTCCTTGGATAAAATTTGTCACAAACCATTTGTGATGGGCATCAGAAAACTGCAATAGGAATGCCGAGAAGTAGAAATCAGATTGGCTGTCCCTTCAGTACCATATAGTCAACCTACATCGATGATGTCAGGCCTAACCCCGATAACGAGGATTTGGCAACGAGGAAGGAAACAGGGCGTCTTCCATAACAGACACGGAACGGCAATGATTGGCCACTTTTATTCAACGATTTGTACTAATCAGAGAAGTTTTGAAAAAAATACCTTCCATTTTGTTATTACTGGTTAGTCTACTTTTATATTGGCCAATATTGTTCTGACCCCGGAATTCTCCTTTAAGAAACTACTTGGAAATCCTTCTTTCAAAGGTGGGGTTGAAATTGCATTTTTCGACAATTGGGAACCTGTTTCTAATTTAACTTACAATAAAAGGAAAAACTCTTTGTGACTCATCGGTTGTTGCATTTTATTTTACGTATTTTGTGATTTAAAAAGTGGCTATTTAGCATTGGATATTAACGAAAACTTTAGAAAACTTTAACTTGGTTATCAATAAGAAAATTAAGAAATTGAGTGCTAATCTTGAGTTTAGTTTTTTGATAAAAACGCATGTATTTTTCAAAGCAAGAATAAATCAAGGAAAACTTACACATAAAAGTTTTAGCTTGTATGTGTTTACTACAGAAATTTCTAAAGATCGTGAAACCAATTTTGAATTTGGGAGATTGACATTCTCAGTAAAGTGCTGGAAAATATTTTTAAAGTGACAAGACTCAAAGCTGTTTCCATTTAATCATAATTTTGTTTGACAAGCCAGTTAAAGAATGATGTTTAAGTTTTGTTACTTTTTGTTTTTTGCTACGATTTAAGTTTTCGTACGTTAAATTACTGAACAAGAAAAACTGTCTTCGATTAAGTTACCTGTGTTGAAGTTGAATTTCCCTGTTTAGAGCATCGAATTACATAGAAAAAGTTAAGGCTGTCATCTAGAATTGTGCCCAACTATCAACGGTATAATATGAAACCAGCAGTTAAAAAATCGTCCAAAATTTTTGTAATTTGATATTACAACGCCACCATACCAATCTTGGCGACTAGTCGTTCGAAAATTGTTTGTGCAAGGATGAAGCGTGTATTTTTATTTTCATAATCAACATTGAACTTTTTTCTAGCTTGTTTTATTATTGTAAAAGTTAAAGAAATAATGCACTAAAGTAAAGATCGATGAAAAAACACTTTGCCCTCTCTTTTTTGCAGGCAAAAATAAATTTAAAGAATCATCAGTGCGCCACATGAAGAATATCATCGGATTCGAAATGGGTGTTGTTGGGTTTGTAGGAATCGTTTCATTTTTATTTCTAGAAAGAGTTATAGCTGATGAAGGCTTTGTTAATGTCGGCCAAAAACCTATTGAAGTGAAAGGGGCAAAAAATGAATCTGAAATGATATTAGCGATTGTTTCCACGTGGCGTGGACATTCTGATTCCTGGGCAAACTCGTGGCTTCGGTACCACATTGGCATCGGATTCTCTCGGTTTTATTTGTTTTTCGATGACCCTGTGGCAGACAAGGATTTGATCAAGAGTCTGAGCACAACATCTGAGTACAAGCCTTTCCTCACTATTATCAAAGTCGATAATGCCTATCGGAAACGGTTTTGGACCCCGGACGAGAGTAAGAAGTCCAAAGATCCGGAACAATTACTTTTACCAAGGCTTGGGGTTTATTTAAAAACAGATCACACATCTCGTCAGCAGCTCAATGTTGCCCGCGCGGGCGTGATGGCAAAAGCGGACGGCGTCAACTGGCTTTTGCACATGGATGCGGATGAATTATTTTGGATCGAGCGGCTCAAATCTGGCATAGCGCGGTCGTTTTTCAAACAATTGCATAACCGCAAAATAACACATTTGACGCTGATAAACGACGAAATGATTCCGTTAACGGCTGAGTTGGATTTCAAAAATAGGAAGAAGGACCCCTTTCACCAAAGAATGCATTTTAAGAGAAACGTAATGGCGTTGGATAAGCCTGAAGATAATGAACTTGTGCAACATTACGAGAGGTCCAAAGGCGCGGCATTCTTCTTAGGTTATATGTGTGGAAAGGGAGGTATAAATGTTGAATTGTGGAAGCGAATTATGGGAGAAGGTATTCCTGTAATACCAGAAAATCTTTGCTCGTTCGCACTGAGTTCTTGGCAACCAGATAATGTAACGCTGATAAACAAAGATCCTGGTAAGCGCCAACGGTGTATTTCTTCAGAAAAGGTGAAAATATTTGTTTCAACTACAGTCGCTCGTGTTCTTCATTACGTTAATCCGTATTTTGCTGCACTGAAAAAGAAGTTTGGTCAGTTAAAAAAATTCAATGGGCATATTTACGACATTGCCTACGTCGCTGAAAGTCAGAAAAAGGAATTTGAAAAATGGGAAGAATATTGGGCTCAACCCGTGCCCATGCCTAGTGGTGTGTTTTACATGGAGATGTGGTCAAGTGTTCAGAGGACTCTGCAAACGAAAAACGACAAGTATTCCCTCGACTTTTATATCCGTGCTGCGATGGCTCCACAAAAGAAAGAGTTGCAAAAGTATTTGAAGAAAGGTGTCATTTACAAAAATAAAGACGCTTATCAGTTCTTGAAGGAACTTGATAAACTGACAAGTAAACAAAGGAAAGATAAGGACGAGTTATTTTTGGAGATTTCAGCCGGTATTAAATTTGTGGATGGAGGCAGTGGCAAAAGAAAGGAGAACAGGACGTATGCTGTTCATGAATGTAAAGAGAAAGGACCTCATTTTTTCTGTGATATCGATGACTGCTGTGGGTTTATCAGCAAAAGTCAGTTCGAGTTATACGAAAGTCTTCTCAGCTGCCAAAGATATGAAAAATGCAATAGTGGGAGCCGGGCATTCGCCGGCAACAATCATAATTGCATGAAAGAAGGCTGATGGAAAACGAGACTGTCGGGAAACGAGGCCGTTGGAAGACTGAACTGATGGAATCAAGACTTCGTTCTTAAAGACATTTTATGATCTTCTTCTTGCTTTTCATTTATAATTTTGATTGATAATCTTTGTTTTTCAATGGTTTTACAATTTAGATAATCCTTGATTTTTTATTTTACTTTATATTAATCCCACACTTACCTAATACTTGCTCTCTGATTCATACTATATTGTTTATAACTAAGTTATGAAAGCTTTGTATTTTGTTATTTTCTCTATATTTTGGATGTTTTGATAAAATGAAAAGCTGTATGATGCTAATTGGTGATGCTAGTCCAGCATCCATTATTGTCAAAGTTTAAGTTGGTTGGTTTTTTAAGGTTCTCCCCAGAATAGCTGCCTCAGGCAGATGTACTTTCGAAATATGAAAGGAATACGAAATGTACGCTCGTATGAAAGGAATTGTTGTACTATGTCAACTTTTAATTGTAAGGAATTCGCAACAAGTCTCAGACATTGGTTTGCTAATTTTTATTTTTCTTCTCAATTTCTACCAAATTTCTTTTTACAAAATCAATACGTATTACACAAAATGTTTGAATGATTCAATATACTTTAAATGTCAATTTTAAATTCTAGAACAATTATTTGAAACTATTAAAACTATCAAAAAGTAAACATGGCACTCTTATTAACCAAATCTCAAAGATCTTTGGTGAACTTTGAGCTTATTTCGATCATATCTGCTGGATTTTACTTATTTATGGTTCATAAAGGCAGATCAGGGAATTTTTGGCAGTTAATTATATACAAGGATGGAAAGTTTAATTGTTTACTCCTGTTAATGATATATTTTTTCCGGGAACATTGAAGCTGCTCCTTCTTCTTCGTGACTTATAATTCTTCGCCTTCAATAATGCTTCGCCTACAAGAATGCAAATCCTCCTGACGAACAAAAGACTGCTTATGTTTAGTGATCTTAATGTTCACATCATCGAGGAAATCAGAGGGTAATTTTGCTGTTAAAATTTTCATTGCAGCGAATTATTCAGCTCATGGAAATCTACCTTATAGACATTTTTTATTTTCTAAAAAATTTCCTTATCCTGCCATCTCATCTAATGTTCCACGTCATCTTCGTTTTCCTATGTAATCTTATTTGCTTTTATCTTCCCTCCGATTCTTCTATTTCATAGTCGTCAGATAAAGAATGTTTTCTAGTCATTTCTTTTTTCCCAATTCAAGGCAACCATTTATTCCATCGTTCTGTAGCCAATTTTTTCATCTATAATATGCTGTATCACCTTAGACTTCTTTTCTTATCTTTCTAGTTTTGACTTTTCTTCTATAATCTTCTTCGTCAATATATATTTATATTTATTTTCAAAATTATTGTCATCATTCTTCATTATACTCGTGAATTTTGTCCTTCGGCTATAGTTCTTAATCGTCCCCGCTTTCTTCAATATCTTCTCTGTGTATTGTTGGCTCCATATGACCTTCACTGTCGTAATCAGGAGCTTCGACGTCATGATTGCTGATTTCAGTCACTCGATCGACTCCTCGTTGTACTAAAAATACAAGAGAGAAATTACATTTCCTTTTACTCATAAATATACCAAAATCCCTTTGTACATGTCTTAAGAAATGAAAAAAGAACAGAGATTAGATTCTTCAGAAATTTCTATCCGTAATGTTTATCTTTGATTTGCTTTCATTCATTCATACGATATTTTGCAATACGACATGTTTTTGTCATGATCACATAAAAAATAATGTGAATTTTTGGTTCTACGTATGGTGAAGAACAGGAGCAAGAATACCCAAAACAACCTGCTAGAATTTTTCTTTAAAATAGGGAAGCTTCATTGAATGACCAAAACTTTTGTTATTAAAATTTAAATAATAAGAAAATGGCATATTGATGCGAAAAAAGATAGTTGAAGGTAGCATCAGGAAGTTGAGTAGTCATCTCACTCACCTTTTTCTTCAATGCTTCTGCCTACATCTTCAACGTCAAGTATTCCTTCGTTTATTTCATGTTCCATATCTTCACCATTCTTTTGCGTCAAATAGCTTAATCTTGCCACACCGTGTCCGTTTCTTGGAACCTTCTCTACTCTGACGTCATCATCGTCGTCATCGTCTTCGTCCTCATTCTCATGCCGTCTTTCTCGTTTTTTCTTGTTTATTTTGTTGACTTTGTGTGCCTTTTTTGCTGTTTTCCTTTTAAACTGTGTTTTCTTTTTTGCTTTTTCTATTGTGTGTTCTGCAAAATTTTGGAAGAAAAAAATATATACTAGGCTAAGTAGCATAATTCTTAATTCGACTCAAAATGTCAAAAGATAATCCATTTTTATTATGTACATAAGATAATGCAAGTTAGCCTTTCATTGTAATATTTCATTATAACACCTTGCACTTTTGCCAAACTAAGGTTGAAAATAGATAAAGATTGCTGCAACTTGACGAAAGGAGAGAACTGAGATTTGTGATTCGTGAACTGATTCGTGAAGCTCAAAATTAAAATTCCCGAAAGAAGTAACTAAGAAATCAGCTTACTTTTGTCCCCATGTAAGTTGTTTTCATGGTCGTTTCCATTATGGCCTTCATGATAATCATCCTCCTGGTACTCGTCGTCGCCATGGTCACCATGTTCGTCATTGTCCTCGTGGTCATCTTCATGGTGTGTCTCGTGGTGGTATGGGTGTGCGTGCATCTCAACCTCATAGTGCACATCAGGTTGATCATGGATTCCTGGGCCGTTAAGCATGTGATGCATGTCGTCATACACTGATGACGTAGAGATTGGCCCTTCCAGTGCGACGTCTGGTGTGTGATGATGGTAGTTGAATGGGTGGCCTCGTAGAAGCGTATCCACATCAAGGTGATCGTGTACATGCCTATCTGGATAATGGGGCATGGGGGCCGTATCCACATTCAAGGGTTCCACGTACCCATGTTCGTCATGATGGTGGTTGGTTCGAATTGGCATCGTGTGACCATGGTAGCCACGGGAGCCACCAAAGTAGCCACGGTGATCATCTCCATGGTGATCATCATCATGTACAAGATGATGCACGTGGTGATGCACATGGTGCATCGAATGTGGCATTTGTAGCGGGAAATGAGAGCCAATCATTGGCAAATGATGATAGCCCCCGTGATGGTAGTCGTCGTCTTCATCGTCATCATCATTGTCGTCGTCATCATCGTCATGGTGATTATATCGCAAATGCGCCCGTTCTGACAGCATCCCAACTGGATGACTAGTGCCGATGACGTCAACACCATGTGGCGATAAGTGCCTTTCAGAACCAGTTGACTCTCCATCAGCTTCTCCTGTCTTTTCTTGTGTCTCTGCAAAACCAATTCCCGCATACGGATCAGACTTTGACCGTGTTTGACCCATTTCCTTTATAGCTTTAGGAACAACCGGAAGATTCAAGTCACCGCCAACTTTTTCTGTTTTTTCTTGCTTCACTGCATGCAACGCGTCATCGAGCAATGTTATCAATGCACGCCCGACGCAGTTCGAATCTAGACATTTCTTTTTTGACGATTTTTCTTTCTCTTTTTTTTTCTTCTTCTCCATTTGAAATATCGTTGCGTTAATCATTTTGATTTTATCAAGCATTTTGTGCACCTGGTCGTTCGTAAATATATTTCCGTTGACGTCACTTTTGTCATCTGCCTCTTTCTTCGAAACTGTATTTTTCAAACTCTCGATATCTGCAGTGTCGTCATCAGCAGTGGAGACTGGCGTGCTTCCTTTTGCTTCACCCTTACTTTCTAATAATTCAATTATTGATTTAAAACTTGGTTCCTTTTCATTTTGCTCATCCAAATGGTTACTTTCATCTTCTTTGTTCTTAGTGTTCAAGAATTTGCTTAATATATCCTTTAAATCTGAAGTATCTTTTTCTAAACCATGTTGATTTGCTTTCTTTTCTTCTTCGTCTTTAGTAAATTCAAGTTTGTCAGAACCTTTTCCTTTGTTCTGACTTTCTTTGTCATCTAGCGATAGCTGTTTTATATGGTCAAAGAATTTTGCTAGATTATGCGAATTCAGTTCACCATTTTTTATTTTGTCGTTTATATAATAATAAAGCATTAGCTTTTTGAGTTTACCTCGGTTCACGGGAATAATAACTCTCCTTTTCGTTGCATTCTTATTAACATACTTTAAACCGTGATTCTTAAATTTCCGCACTTTATCCTGCAGCCGAACTTTGACCTTTTCATGTGACCTTTGATTTCTGGCCGTCCGCTGTTGAACTTTGCTACGCGACTGTTTCCTTTTATCATTTCGTATAAGATTTCTTCTACTCTTTTCCATTTCATTGCCAATCGCTTCAACTTTCTTTCCTTCAAACATAAATCAAATCCCTCATAAGCAATTAAAAAATAAATAAGGACATCACATCAACTTGAATCTACCCATCTAAACGAATTCATCTTGATGATGATATCATTGGGGTCATTTCATAATGCAAAGTTCTCGTCGACCTTCATGCGTGAAAATTGATCAGAAGTGCAAATTGATCTTACCTTGAATTTCTACAAGATCTTCCAGTTTTTGTCTCAGATTTTCTTGCCTTTCAAATGTTCTTCTATCAGGAGCGGTTTCTTCTTTTTCTTTCTTGTTGTTTCCAATTTCTTCGTGTTTGGCTCCTTTTTCAACTTCTTTGGTCAACTTGTCCCCAGATTCTTTTTCTGTTGACTGCATGAACCTCTCTATCATTTGGCCTGGTTGAATGAAAGTGAAGAAATAACAGATATAGTGACAACATCTTGGACCTATGTCAAACTGATTTGATTATAGTGACAGTGTTTTGTTTTATAAAATGTAATCTTATCTGATGTCAATGATCTCAAATTTTTGATTTTGAGCTGGGTTTTTTAATTTTTTTTCTGGGTTTTTTAAATGCGATATATAAGATGCAAATTCGAGCTTGTTGCAACTTGGCTCTAAATGTCATTCATTACCTTTTAGCTCGGTCTCTTTTTCCATTTCTTCAGCTAAATCGTCGACCTTTTTTCCGGCCACCATTATTCGTTTCTCTGCATCTGGCGAATCAATTTTTTCACCTGCCTTCTCGATCTCATCCTCCATGTTTTCAGTCGAATGCTCAATCATTGAGCTAACTTTGTCTATTGACTGCCCCTCTTCTTCAATCTTTTTACCAAGATCATCATTATCATTGTCTGCAATATTTAATTGAATTCAATCTACTATTGTGAACGTTTTTTACAGGCAGCATAAGACTTAACCTCTCTTATAGAAAATGCTCAGTTAACATCACTTATTATTATTTATAAAACATTTTGAAGCTAAGAAATTATCGCATCGGTGTTGGAATAAATTTTCGAAGTTACACATGATGTATGTATGATATGAAGATAATGACATAAAAGAAAGGTATTAAATTAACAAGCTGTAATGGATAAGGCAAGGAAAATACATGTCACTCTGCGTTGCAGTGTACAGTCAAATTTATTACAAAGGTTTCATAGAATATTTTGTTATTTAATTTAAATTTATTTCATTACATGGGATTCTCGTCGTTGTGTTGCTTTGTTCCTGAATATCTTTCGCTTGAATACTCATTGCAAGATTCACAGAATCCGGTGGACAGCCTATCCCACAGTTCTTCCTTTTTACACGTCTTATGCAGTGTTTAGAGTTTGATTGGCCTATGAAAGCCCATCGGGGCTGCCCTTGTAATTTTATTTGGTAACTATAGCACAGATGATGATTTTATTATTCTTCTTTCTTCATAGCTCTAATGGTTTTCTACTGCTATATGATTACGAGAACATTTAAATAAATACTTTTATGCTCGAATCTAAACATATTTCAAACAAGACTTTGATACCTGTTGCCTTGCAGAATCCTCTTGAAAACCATGCAACGAGCAACAAGACTAGAATAGATTGTCGCCATTTTCTTTTTCTCAGCAACATTTTCCCCAAATGTAAGTCAGCCAGCTAAGCCATGCCACAATCGCATAATGTTATCAATTTTTATCTTCGTATTTACTTTTGAAAGAGTCCATGTTTTTCTTTCGTCAGGAAAGTAGCAAGAACAATTTTTGCAGGTGGTCGTGTATTGATAGGCTCTTCGGGTCATTGGTCTCGGTTTAATTCATCTTAGGTTATAAATAACAAATTATATTTTACAAGTAAGCTACCCTGGCACATCTAATTATGTTCTTTCTCTTTCTATTTTCAATCTATATTGTGCACAAATTGGCTATACATGTAAAGAGTCAAGATGGCTACTTTCAAATTTTAATTTTGGTCCTTATATCATCCTCTGTTTCAATCAGCTCCATTTTCTCCATTCTTTTTTCAATTGAGTTTCTTTCAACTTTCTTAAACGCTCATGATGTTATTTCACTAAACTTCCAATAAGCAGTTGTACTTAAACATATATATGAAAGCTAACATTAAATGAAATATCAAATATGCTTCCAATTGCATTTTCAAAATATCTTATTTTTCAGAATCTTTACGTTCAACCGTTTATTTGTATGTAAAGGGTATGCGTTTTATTTGAAAGTACATTTTAAAGCTATAGGTGTCGCTTGTTTGCTATCGATGCAGCCTTTTGTCTGATTGGCCCCTCTTGACGATCACTGATTTTGTCTTCGTGCCTGTGATTCACGATAGAGTTTTATTTATGTGTGTGCTGCCTACGCAAAGCATGACAAAGGAAACATCAATGCTAGTGGATAGCTGAATCTGAAACTCTTTTTCGTTTCATCATCTACATCAGACAGATGACATCTTGACTTTTTGGAGCTGAAACAAGCCACAGAGACAACACTTCACTATAATTACACTGTTTAAACGAAAAAGAGGACCAGGGTTGCCATTAGCCGAAGATTGGGAGGCCAACGTAAAGTACAGCATGCAATTCAACAATTCAAGTAAATTTTTCAATTCAAACTATTATTGTTTTATACGCATAGAGAGGATGCAGAGCAGCATTCTTAATATACTTACTACAACCAGGGATGCAAAGTAACCAAACAAAGTCTGGGCTCTAGTTTGATAATGACAATACTACAGTTAAATATTACAACATACCAATTGCGTAACAATATGCATAGCTATTGGATAAGATCACATAAATAATCACATATTAAAAGTCAAATAAAAATAATTGCTTCTACGAATAACTCATTATTTTGATTGGTTATTAACAATAAAATATCAAGAATCACAAACCATTATTACTCTTATCTCATATTCTTGGAGATGGTAATCTAATGTTCATTTTTGTTAAACTAGTCTTCTCGATATATCTGAATAGTCATATGAATAACAGCAGTGCAATAACTTTCTAGTAAGTAATAGGAGGAATGATATTGGAAAAAGCGAATCGGTGATTTGAAATGCTCGATCGCTGATTCCCACGCAGTTCCTGGTTGATTAGTATATCACACTTGGTGATAAGTGACCAAACAATCAGTGATAAGGAATTAGGCCAAGATAAGGAATTAGGCCAAGAAATCGAGTATATACCATTTTGAACAGCGATTCTAAACTTTGTCATGAGCTCATTCTAAGAAGCTTCAGCAACTGTACCGCAAGACCGAACGATACTTTTTTCATTACGTTTTGACGAACGATACTTTCAGCACCCCTTTAGCCCCCGCAAAACCCCCCTATCTCTTCCCAATGTGCCACCCGTGGCGCTCCTTCTTATTTCATCCTTTCAAAACAATTAATTTAAACGTGTTTTGGATTCGTCTACATATATAGGAACCTAAATCAATCATGTCAAATATACAAAGTTTACATTCAAAGCTACTTCAAAACGTGTCAGTGTTCTAGTCAATTAACTATCTGTCATTAGTTCCCTCTTTAAATCTTCATAGATCTCCTGATCGCAGACGACTTCACTTATTCCACAGTTGCAACGTCAGACATCTATATGATAAAAGGTTATTGCGACTTCCAAAGGTCATTTCAATAGTTTTTTGCATATTTCGCCTGGAAATAACATGATCAAGGTACTGTCCTCATAATATCCATAAAGGACAAGGAAGTTTATACTTTCTTTTCAGTTTATCCAGGCTTGTAATAATGTTACTGTTGACTGACTGCGTCACGTGTTGTCCTTATGTGAGGCCTCAGCATTTTCCTGAGTGTTCTTTTCGCCTTTGGTACCGTATGCTTTTTGTGTTTTGAGTGTAACAGGTCTTCCAATGAACTCTTCTCGGGCTCCATCACCTTCTTCGTTCTCAAAACACTATCAGCATCAAGAAATGCTCTTATTGAAGAAAAATTTTCTTCCATTTCTTTGTTACTAATTGAACCAGGATTTGTTGATAATATATCGTTTGACTTCGGACCATTTTTCTCAATCACTGAGCTCAACGTATCGCCAATATTTTGCGAATCTTCTCCGATATTAATCGGGTAGTTTGATTTATCTGGTGAGTTTACGAGACTCTGTACTGCTGCTTCTGTTGGTTGATTTTCATCCATGTCAGCCAGCCCTGTTTCGACTGCAGAATCGAAACTACGTGCATTCCCTTTTTCGGATTTCGACAAAGACGGGTGTATTACGTCACTTGACACGTGGGCAATTTTCATGTTCGATGGCAAAGTAGGGTACGATGCCATTTTTTGGAGATCGAATGGAGAATTGAATGGCTGTGGCTTGCTTTTACCAATATGCTTCTTTGCTGTCAGAGAATTGCGGATTTTCATTATTTTGCTCAAAGCTTCATTGATGGACACGGCAGGTTGGCGCAAAGGCACATTGTTGTCCTTAACAGCGTGTTGCATTATGGGATTGCTTGGTAAAAGGTTTTCTGGCACACTGTTGATTCCCATGGAATTCATAGGGAGGTTTCTAAACGCCATTAGCTCTTTGCTATGGGCTTCGTTTTCTCCTGTCGCTGTCCCAGCGTTAATGCTCTTCATTGAGTTACCGAAGAATTCCGCGTTGATTTGATTCATCACGAAGTGCGGGTCTGTGTATGGGTCATTCATACCTCTGCTTATAGTTTGTTCCAAGTCTGCGATTGGATTTGCCAACTTTATGGCTTGCTGGTGACTCTGCACTTCAACTACAAAGCCCTTCTTTTGTAGCTTGCCTGCAATGAAAAGCAACATTTATTCCCTGCTTATTCTTTTTATAGTTTAGTAGAGCAAAGTATCAACTGCTTCCAGTGATGGATGAGAGCTTAATCTAATCTAACTAATGTCTTTTGATGGATCTTCACTAGGATTCTACATTTACCTAAGGCTACTTCACTTCACTGATGCTACATTTACCTAAGGGCATTTTGCTGAAACCAAAGTCATTTTGGCAGCTTCTTTAAACAAACTGTTAGCGTTTCAAATAGATAAATCAAGTTTGCCTGATAAAAATTGCACAGTTTTACGTTTTCAAGAGACGAAGTTTTATTGCCAAAAGCATTGTGACCTATTTCTTGGCTTTCGTGCGATTTCGCATTTTTTTTTTACTTTAAAGATTATTTTCAAATATTTTAATGAAATGCAATAAAGGTGATCCGCGATCTTTAATTTCTAACGAAATAAGAGCAAATTGATTTCCGTGCGATCGTTACCTTTGCTACTGGCCATGGCCATCGTTGCCAACAGAAGTGATACTATCAGTTTCATCGTGGTTTTCTTTATTTCCTCCTTTCTGCCTTCATTCAGATTCCATCACAACTGTGCAGTCTTTCAGCAGCTGTTTTGAATTTTTCTTATGCCAATGATAGAACCATATATTTTTTTTATCTGCGATTAGCTAAAGATTTTCACTAGCTACAGCAGAGGTGCCTAGTCTTCGCCAGCCTCATTTGTCATTCGGTTCGATGCAAGTGGCTGCACACGGAGTCAGTGACCTTAGAACTCGCTGCGTAGCCAACCTTAAACAAGGAGCTTATTGATAAATAATTCACGTGTCTACGGTAACAAGTTTTTATACCGAAGGGTGAGCGTACTTCCGGGTGCAATGTACATAATTAAGCGTGATAAATTTGAAGTTGGCAAGAAATAGCAGAAAAATACGAAGTAATTTAACACATATGAAACATACGAAGTAGTTTTCGTCTGATTGTCGTAACAGCATAAACCTCGGGTTATGGCCAAGGGTAAGAAGAAAACTTAAATCCAGGTGTGGATGGAAAGTAACGTGAGAGGAATAAAGTGGCGTTTGATTGGTTCAAGCGATCCAAACGCACCAATCTCCCTCTATTGATATTTTCGACCCGCATCTAGGTATAATTTTCTGCTCACCTTTTGGTCATTATTAGACGCTTTTACTTTAAATTTATCTTTACGTTGCTTCTACTATAAAGATCAAAATGACTAGAAGTGCTTTAGTATGTTATGTTCCTGCTTTTCCTTGCTGTTTTCAGTTTAAAACATAAGCTTTTAACTGTTAGAAATTGTAGAAGCAGTTAATGAAAATCGTTTGGCTGCGTATACCATTGTTTTAAGACGCCATGTTTTGCCATGTCGGTTTTTGCAAAGTCGGTTTTTGCTTTTTGCAATGTCGGTTTTTGCAATGTCGGTTTTTGCCAAGTCTGTTTTTGCCATGTCAGTTTTCCCTGATATACCCTGATTGCCTGAACTATTGTAGAAAATTAAATCTTGAGAATGCAACAGCTGATGATCCTGATATTACAGGCAACTATTTTCAGATTGCTAGGAAACGTATTGAACTCAGTAGAATTACACAATTACGATGAAATGTCGGCTACACAAAAACTACACAAATAAAATTTGGAGAGATAACATAAATTATATAATATAATATTGAATTTCTTGCACAGTTTTTTAGAAAATTCAGAATAAGCTCGAGTAGTTATCTTTGTCGCAAAGATAGTTAAAGGGCGTGATAGCTTTTGCTTTTGTGTTTCGAAGTCAACCAAGCCCTCGAAAACTAAACCTTACTGTATTAACAGCTAAACTTGGCATAACCAATGTTGTAGTAAAATTCGCTTTCGTTATAATTGAGTCCCCAGGTAAACCTATTGTCGATCCGCTTAAATTTGCTCACTGCACAACACATCAACAGAATACGGTTGCATTAACAGTTTTAACATTCATCAGCAACAAAATTTTCCAAAAATGTTTAAAACCTTGCCATCAACTACCTAATCAGCATTCTTGTCACTAGGGAAAAATTGCCAAAAGGTTCTTAACTCATCCTTGTGTCTGCACTTCATGTCTCCAGTTGCACCGATTTGGAAAAATAGCTTTGACTTCGGAAGGTACAAAGTATACCTGGAAACATGATTCTTTACCTCTGTACCTAACTAAAACGCTTTTAACACTGAGAAATTGCTCACTTTACGCGAACCTAGGCCTACCTTTATTTCGAAATCTCTTTGATACATGTGACTACCATCGGCGGCTTTGTCGTTAAATCAAGCCATTCATTGGCTGGAACCTGCTGCTATGACTCAAAAGCAACATCGACGAAAAGTATTTGAAAATCGAACTTATACTGTGATTATGTAAAGAAACTAACTCAGGCTTATAAAAAGGCAACGTTTGTTATTCCTTCTGTCAAGGACATTGGAATTCTAGAGCTCCGTCATGTTACATCACCTCAATTAAAACCATTAACATTTCATTCCGATGCATGTACTGCCTCTTCTGCCCTTGAAATCAACGAAGGCTAATTGCAGAGTGGATACATTTTTTGGCACGTCTTTTGATTTTCATTTTTAAACGAGTTAAATGAAGACACGATGCCTGAAAATGCTTTTTTATGAGCAAGAGATATTTTGATGTGGCAATTTTGATGCAAAATTCCACTTTTGAAAATTGGCCTATTGATTTCTGGCATTGGCATTTTCTATATGCATACCTAAACGGAGACATTGAAATGAAGTTCGTCTTGACATGCCTTTTAATTAATTTTGTCTTGAAAGAGAACAAGGATAAGAATTCACCTTTCAACCAAAGAACATGAGTAGCTCTCCTTCTTTTCCACATTCTATCGTTTGATAATTTGAAATGTAAAGAAAATGTTTTTGGTGATGTTTTGTCACATTTGTCAAAAGAGCTTAAATTTGTTTAATTTTTTATCAAAATTTAATATTTTATCAATGTTTTTGTAGATGATCATCAGTCAGTGTAGAGCTATCAATTTTCAGCCACTTGCTTCAAAACGCATCATTCGTTTTTAAATAGCGTTACCCAGCGAACGTTTCTCGTAAGATTAAGCACGACCTTTTGGAATATTGATACCAATCCAGTTTTGACACACTTACGATAACGTGAAGAAGCTCAGCAGATAAACTTAGAGAGAACTGCATTAGAAGATGAGTGCTTTCTGTTTTGAATATAATTATGTACACGTTTCTGGAAAAAATTGAATGGATACTACAAATTCATACGTAATGTACACACAAAATTATTTGTTAAAAATATAAAATTTACATTTGTCCAAGTTTCGATGTCTGCTTTATTTGTAAACACTGAATTTTATATGTAATTTTTCAGGTTTATTGCATATTCAGGGACTAATATAAAGACAATTTTACAAATTTTGCGACATACAAACAAATATTGCGCGTACTGCTTCAATTTCAAAGGGAATTTGAAAGAGACCACAAGAATTTATGTCATACCTCCACCAGATTCGACAACTATACGGTTATTTGACGTTTACGAAGCATTGCATGAAATATTCGAGTTAACTGTAGCATTTTAAACAAATTTCAAGGCTACAAAGCAGATCATCAGTTAAATTGTTGTAATGTTTGTGAATTCCAAAATCAAATAAGATTTTTTCTTCAGCATCATAAAACTGATGCTGAGTAGCAGCTTTTCAGAAGTATCTCAAACATTTTTTTCAAATGTCTCCAATTCCTTTTTATAAATGCTTCCAGCACCTCGGGATCTTCCAAGGCGGTATGAATTATGTCTGTAAATCTTTTGGTAAGAAGTCGTTCGGCCAGTTTATGACTTTTTAAAACCAAACGACATTTTCTTAAAAGCCCTACTCTGGCTGGGATGCCTTTGGGATTGCATCAAGAAATCTTTATATCGTGAGATACATGTATTTAATTACGCAAGCCCGGCTTCTTCCCCTTTATGAATTTCGGTAGAATTTAGTCAAGATGTTTTTCTTTCCTTTATCTGTCTTTTTTGTTATCTTGTCGCGTCTTGATTCTGTCACATTGTACTTTCCTGTAGTGATAATGTTTACAACTTTCGTTCTCTTAGCATCGTTCAAATGCGATAACTCAATCCGAACTGGCTTCTTGGAGCTTAAAGTCTTTCCATGTCCCTCCTTTACTTTGCCGTTAACAATTTTGCTCCTCAAACTCCCTCTTTCTGCAAGTGGTCTTCCGTTAACTTTAACCTCAATGTTGTCGTCTTGTAGTGATGCCATCTTGGACCGTTTAGTCCCACTTATATCTGGGTTAAATATCTTGTGTCTTACGTACACGTCCGCTTGGTTTAACGGACTCGCATTGTCACCCGAATCAATAGCATTTTTACTTTGCTCGTACCGCAAGTCATCATGGGATACAACTGAAATCGAGTTTCGTCCAGCGCCATTATAGCTGTGTCTTCCGGGCTGGAAAAAAGAACTTTCGACCGGATTATCCCCTGCAGAATTCCGATTGGCAATGTCAAACGCTTGGTTTCCGACAACATCTGCAAAACTGGGGTCTACACCTCTTATACTTGGTGTAGGAAGAGAGGATATAGATTGCATCCCGTTTGTTCCAATTTCCGAAATCCCGCGTGCAAATGCACTATTGTCTGCTTTGATGCCGCTCAATGCTTGATTCTCTTGCGCTCGTTCCCAATCCATTACATCCCGGTTACTCATGTCGTTTGTTTTGCGCTTACTCAGCATGTCTAGAAGCGATTCTGGGTTCGTTCCATCAAACGGACTGTGCATTGTGCCGCTGTTTCCCATGGCTGCAAATCAACAAGATATTTGTAAAAGTTTCAGTGATACTATTTAAAATTCTAAGGAAATATTTTTAAAAAGCTAGTTCTCTGATGAAATGATTCTGATCAGATTCAACCACATTTGTTGTTTAGCATTAGGCCTTAATTCGTAATTATTTAGCTGACTATTTAAATCAAAACATTTTAATCAAGGTTAAAACCAGCATACCGAACTTTTCCGGATCGCCAGGACCAGTCAGTCCTCTGTTGAGTTGCCTCATGTGCAATGTATCCAACAAGGTGTCCGGATTTCTTGGAAGCGTTCTTGGATCGCCAATGGCCGGATTTTCTGTTTCTGTGCTTCGCATTTTCGCCAGTTCAAGTAATGAATCTGGATTGATGTTACGTAGATTAGCCTGTCCTTCCATTGGATCAGAAAGGTCATTTACTGGGTTGGCCATGACTGGATTCAACATCTGTTGTTCTTTGTTGAAAAGCTCCATACCATTTTGTGGATCAGAGTGCGTTGCCTGAAACGGATTGGCTGCCAATGGCCCGGGTCCGGGACTTGGCTGCTGTTGAAATGCAGAACTCATTGGACTAAGCATGGATAGTCTGCCAGACATGTCCATGGCCAAGGGGCCTCTTTCTCCAGCCATCGGAGCTCCTCCCGCCATTGGCGCTCCTCCCATCATAGGGGCTCCTCCCATAGGTTCCGCTGACATAGGTTGTCCCTGGCTAGGAGCCCCTCCATAAAATGCTGCTGCCTGATCACCTCCTGGCATTGAATTTTGACCAGGAAATCTGAAGCTACGGGATACCCCTGTCTGTTCTCCACTTAGTGGCTCATTCATTGCAGGAGGCGGTTGCATCATAGCTGCTGTATTGATCCCTGGGTTCTGCGGCATGTTCATGACACCATTCATCTGAGGCGGCAAAGCAGGTAAATTTGTCATCATTCCTGGGGCAGACATAAGTGACATTATCATTGAATAAGGAACAGAGGGTATTTGCACACCTCCACTTGGCCCTCTGCTTTCAAGCTGTGGCCCTGATCTAGATTGCCCAGTTTCCATTGCTGACTGTTGTGGCATTAATTGTGGCATCATTGGTCCAGCTGGTGCGTATGGTTCCATTGGTCTCTCGTCAATGCCCCTCCTTTCAGGGTACTCAGGTCCGCTTTGTGGATTTCCAAACATTGGACCATTCTGTCCTCCAAAGACTGGCACAAGCATTTGGCCCGATTTGATAAACATCATAGGCACTTTTCCAGGCATCATTGGCATCATCATATTGCCTTGCATGTTTTGTGGCATCATATTCTGCTGGAACATGGCATTGTTTTTTGGTTGCATCATTGGCACTTCTTGTGGACCTCGTGGTGCTTTAAGCATTGCCTGATTCCCCTCTAGGTTTGTCTCTGACTCAGCCACCGAATGCTGTGTTATATTCCGAACTTCTTCATTTTCCTTTGCAGGCCCTATCGATTCGTATGCTGATGAAGGCTTCTCTTCTTTTGCTTCTTTTGCTTTCACCTCTGCCTTTGAATCTTGCTTTGGTTTCTCTTCCTCCTTTGAATCTTCTTTCTTCACCTCTTTTTCTCCCTTTTCGCCTACCTCCTGTTTTGCACGCTCATCTAGCTTCGCCAATTCACTCGCTTGGCTTCTTAGTTCTTGGAACTTCGATATTATCTTGTTTACAACATCCTCTGGTATTATCTTCCGGCTCGTAACACCGTTACTGTCTGTTGATGCAACTGTTATATTCTTCTCAGGTTGCAACAGTTTCAGTTTTTCTGCTAGATTTTTACCGCCACTCCTTTTCATCAAGCTATCTTGAATTTCTTTAATTCTTTCTATCACATCTTTGCTTATAGCAGCTGTATCTTTCCACTTTGCTCCGTTTCCTTTATCATTTTCGATAACTTTCCCGTCATAGTCAACAATTTTGCCTAGGTTCTCAAGTTCATCTACTTCAGGCTTGCTATTGTCCTCTGAACCGTAGTCCGTCCCTGCATGTATGACATTTTGCCTTCTACTGGCCACTTGGGATCTAAATGGCGTCCCGGCTCCACTTATTTCAACCCTCTTTACAATTTTACTATTTCTCCTGTTGTAATATCGATGTGGGCGTCCTGAAATGATAATTAAACGAATGTGATTTGAACATAATTTCAGCTAAATTTAATGAAGCGTTTAAAGTCAAATGTTTAGTCCTTGCACAGTTTTTTTGCAGTGATTTGAACGACAACTTTAATTGAAAAGGAAGAGAACCGCACGTTTGATAGCTATTCCGTGGCTTGAGACATTTATCAAAGGCTCGGCGACGAAACTGGGTCGTTAATTCATAACAAAAAAAGTTTACCTTACAATGTTTTAGATATAATTTCTAGGACTTAAATGTACACAGCTTCTAACATTGCAAAACTACCAAGCACTCACCATAGATTTCTCCAGCCAGCAGAGAGAGAAGAACTAGAATTTTCCAAAATTTAAAATCTGTTTTGAATTTCATGATCACATTTCTATGGTTTGAAGCACAAATTTATATATTTTTTTAAGTTTTAAGGGCCTTCATCTTGCTCTTCTGCTAATTACTAGGCGATGCAGGTCGGGCTCATAAGATCATCAGCAGATCAATGCGACAACCAGCTGGAGGAAGGATGCGCAATTTGATTCTCGATTTCCCGCGCATTTGCATTCGATTTCTCGCGCGTGTACATTCATTACATACACAATTCATTGCCAATTCTTCTGTTATCTCATTCATTTGATACTAGCTGATTTAAATAGGACGACAGTGTCACTCTTATCATAGTTCAACCTCGGGCTTTTACTTGTTGAGACCATGGTGTTGGTATACCTTTTCCAAGTCAACGTTTAAACTTAGTTTAGCTGTACTCGGTAAAATTTGTCTTCATCAATATCAATTCATAATTTCTATTGATTTTAAATAGACCTTTTCCTTTATTACGTCATGGCGCAATGCATTATGGTACTTGCAGTTTAACCCGCGAACATCTAACTATGCCTTACGGCGACTGGACAAAGCTCTTTTATTACTCAACGATCTTTGCTCAAATAATCAAACAAATCATGGAAAATACAGCAAAATACCAAGCAACAAATTTTTAGGTTTTTGCGAAGCTTTTGCCGGAAATTAGCGCTGCAGAAAGTCGTCCCGACCGCAATTTGACAGCGCTTGATATTTTGCAAAACCTGCTCAAAATCCGTAAACCTTAAGGTTATCTTTAAATTTGAATTCAACGTTGTGCATCAAGCAAGCTATCGAATCCCGACTGCAATATCTTCAAGCAATCTACATTCATTCATTGATTGAGAGAAATAAAACTGAACAAAACCCTCAAGCGCAGAAGGAATCAGAATTTTTACCTTCCCTTACTCAAATATATTATATTACTGCCGCCCATAAGCAAAAAAGTTAAAATAATTTATTAAAGAACGATATTTTGTTGATAGCGGCAACTTAGATTGTTTTTTAACTTGAATTCTTTTGTTTTTAAAAACCTTCAAATGTCATCAGAAAGTTTTGTCAATGACAAAGACATAAACTGGGGTTATCATGGTCCCCTGGCAAATGGAGGCTTCCTTCTCTGCTTGTTAGACAATATCAAATTGTGGCGATAAAATTCAATTAACATCGATTGTTTTTAAATGATTACGCAAGATAAAAACTTGGGCTTAAAGCTTGGAACGAAATATCCAAAGAACTAGGGGAGATTCTCTAGCTCTATCAATTCAAACGAAAATTAAAGCTCATTTGAAGAGCTCATGAAACCCGAATTAAAACACGATTCCCAGGAAGATCAGACAGGTTAATTTCTTTAATTTTTGTCTTCCATTATTAGTTTTTTTTAACTTACCATAACTTGTACTTAGATTTCTGATGAGATATCATGTTGAAATAAATATTAGAAAAATAAAATAAAAAAAATAAATGATCAGAACGGCATGTATTAAACTTGAAGTTAATGAAAGGCGTTTCAAAATTTAACTGCCATGTCTTTGAAGACTGCCGACATGAAGGGAAAAACACTCAAAGCCGAGAGCTATCAGTATTCTTCGAAAAATTTAATTTGGTTTCTTAACCCAATTTTTCCCAAATTTCTATTCCCACAAAAATTATCCTCAGAAAGTTTCATACCCTTGTAAGTTTGCTTCCCCCCAATTACCGGCCATACGTAAAGACTGCTATATTTGCTGCTAAAGACTAACCTTATAAAAAAGAAAAAAAGGAATAAAATTCTTTACTTTATAGATAAAGAAACTCCAGCTATGGTAATAAACAAAATTGTTGGAGACGCTCGTTGAATCCGCAAAAGCGACGATAAACCATGCCAGACTCAGCAATACCTTATGGGCAGAATCAGTCAACATCGCAGCCTACACAAAGAATCGTGTTATAGCCAGTGCATCAGGTCAGACACCGTAGGTAAGATGGTATAGAAAACTTCCTGATGTCTTCCACTTACAATATCTTGCGATAGAAATTATAAAACATTTAACGGTTTGAATCCACCTTTTTTGGATGAAATATTTTCCATAAATGAATGCCCATATTACTCAAGAAACTCCCAATTGAAAACAGCGAAGTCACATTACAAAATATATGGATTTAATACCGCTTCATACAGATGAAGCCAATTGTGGAAGTTAGTTCCAAACGAGGTAAAGTACTCCCTACTTTAAAAATATTCCAGAAAAAATCTCAGAATTTACATCGTTTAATTGTACTTGTAATCTTTGCAAGGAATACGTTAGCAACATCAGTTACATTTTATTTACATTATATTTAACGTTGGTAATTTAAGTTAGTTGGTTTCAATTAGCTTGAGTATTCATAGCTAGAAATTATACCAACTTTAGATTAAGAAAGAAAGAAAAAAAATTTCCATGTGTTCGGCTGCGCAGCCTACGCTCAGCGAAGAAAGTTGGACAAGAAAGCCAACAGACTTCGATTCTTGGGCTACAGTGCAAATCAGAAAGGATACCAACTTTTTGATATGCAGAGCAAGAAAGTAGTGATTAGAAGAGACGTTAACTTCAATGGAAATGATATTTGATCTCGAAAACGTTATTTGAAGATGGTTCCAGAACCAGCAAAGGAAAATAAACGGCAAACAGAGCCTACGGAAAGGGGCACGGATGTCATCCTCAACGATCTCAAAGATCCATAAAAGGGGTACCGCCAACTCGATTTGGCTTGGAAGAGTATGCTGACGTCAAAGAAGCAAGACATGTTGTGTTCTCAGCAACCATTGAAGAACCAGCTACCATCCAAGAAGCCTTCAATAGTAAATACTCCGCACAGTGGAAAGAAGCTACGGATTCAGAGTATCAGTCACTCATAGGGAACCAAACGTGGGAGTTAGTGAAGCCACCAAAAGACCGAAAGGCTATCGGGTGCAAGTGGGTCTTCAAAGTAAAATATGACAAAAATCCAGTCGGACATTAATGTAAATGATTAATTAATGTACATGGACAGCATAATTAGATGGGCGAATATGAAGGTACATGAACTGATGAAGACCACGAAAGACCGAAGGATATGACGGGTCGTCATTTGTCTTTCGTGATCTTTAAGCTCCTCTTTTGTTTATGAACACGATCAATTGAACAAACCACATGTTGTTGAGCAAAGATGTGTCTTGAAATGCAGGTCTAGATAATCGGTGTTTCCTTTAATAGTTTCATCGTTTGGCTCTTCGAAGTTAGCCAGAGAATTAAATAGGTATTCGACAGGTTTTGTTGTTCACTTAAAGGTACGTAGGCCATCTTTCGTTCTTGTTAATGAATACGACCGTTTATCGTAAGTTGGTACTATGTTAAGTTTGTATATCTATTCGTGTATCAAGTCCGTGAATTAATAATATCTGAATTAAGAATTTGATAAAGAGATTCTTTGAGCTTGTTTGGGAAGCGTTGGGTTTTTTGGAAACAACCTACAATCACCATAATACGGCAAAATATAGGTATTGAACTTTTTGAATCTCTACAAGCATCCATGGCTAACAAACAAGCTATTATCCAATATCTAGCCATGTGCAACTTGATTTGATGTAATCCGTATTTATGTTATGTGCTAATTTTTTCTTTATGCGGACTAATGTGTAAAAAAACGATTCTTTTCAGTTTTCTTATTATAAAATTTGCATAGGAAATATCGAATGAACAAACATTGTCTTGTATAAGGAAATGTTTAATGTCCTATAGTAAGATAGTCATTAATATCGCTAAGCCTTTTCTCTTAGAGTTACGAATCATTTTGCCTCTGATGCGAAATCTATATTTCAATCTTTCATTTGCTTCCTTTTAGAAACAAATCAAGCTAAAATGAGAAATGATTTGCTTTTGTTCTCAACAATCATTCTAGGTAAGTACTGATCTAATTTTCTCTTAGAATTTCTTGAATGGATTTCTTGCACGTCTCAGCCATAAAATGATGAGCACTGCTATTCAGCTGAGATAAATCCCCCAACTATTATAGCAAACTAATTTGTAATTTATAATTTTAGGAATTGGTTTCATCTCGTCAACTCCGTGTCATCGACGAAGTAAAAGTACGTCTTTTTTCCGCTTTTTTTCTTTCTTGACTTCAGTGCAGTAATAATTTTATTACCATTTTCAGTAACATATTTTATGTTTCGTTACCTAATTTCTAATTTTATTTTGAATTTTGGCAGGGTGCACCATGCCAGAATGCGACATCGTAGGGGCTCTTTCAATGTGCGCAGAGGCAACTCCTCACTGTCCTGCTAACCATGATGACGTATTTGACAAAGAAAATATCTGCCATGCAAGGGGCCTAAAGTGTTGCCGCTCGATATGTGCTGGTCCTGGTACAATGTGCTTACCAAAAGAGAATCCATGCATCGAAGGATATGAGACTGTGCCTGGGAAATGTCCCCACGCCGTGGATGACAGGTATCAGTGCTGCAAGCCCAAGGCATCGGCAGCGACCTGATTCCCAGTCATTATAAGCCAGATGCTGACATCATAACGTCTGCTGTCATCATCAATGCTCATTTTGAGCGATCAACAACATCAGCTTGGAAAGTCGAAACACTTTTGCTCCAAAGATTAGAGCTTGATGTTTTTTAGTTCAGGGCTTTTTTCCGCTGCAAATTTTTATTTTAGCATTCAGATTTGAGCTGGTCGTGAAGAAGATCTTCAGACTAGTAAAAGATAATATTAATTGACGTTGCTCGCTAATTCAAATAAAGAGTTGGAAATAATTTCAGGTAGCTTTGAAGTTTTTCTTTGCTTTTGAATGTTGTTCAATTTATAAACGATTTTAATCTATTTTGTACCACACAATCTGGTAAGATTTATGTAGATGACCTTACAAATTGCTACGAGGTAATCATAGGATAGAAAATTTTGCAAATAAATATTAGCCAAGTGTTTATACATGTTTCTAGCAAGATTTTGCTTAAAAGCCTTGTTCATTATTGCATCACTTCAAATTTGAATAAAAATGTTGCTATACCAGTCAGTTTTTTTCACCTGCCTTGTATTATAAGCCCACTTCTTTTCAAGGTTCTTTTATTGATTTTTATCACTCCAAAAATAAACATGCTAATAATAAGCACGATAACAATACTAGAGAATAAAAAATAAAGAACTATGATAAAAAATAGAAGAATAAGTTATTTTGGGAAGTTTTCAGTTTTCTAATCAATGAGTCAAACCTTCCAGAAGGTTTTATTTCTCTAGGTAAAGAATCCAAATTGATTTTTCTCCGTAGAAGAAGCAGTTAGGCCAATTTTTGTTTTAAATTTGAATGTCTTAAATTGGAATCAGAGTTAGGTATAGATTTTTTTGCAATGGAGATTCTTTAAACTGTGCTTTTTATGTAAAAGCTATTCGTTATAGATAAGATTCTACAAAAAATATGTCTATCGATCAGATCAGAAATGCTAGGTGGATTGTTGTGAGCCAGGGCCCCCAGCCAGGCCATATTCGATATTTATACTCAGAAGAGTGACGAATAAAAGGTATTCAGTTTGCTATGTTTGCGCTATTTCGTCGTGCCATCTTCAAATTTTTCAGTTTTATTTGAATTGCAAGATACATTAAGGTTAAACGAATTTTAGAAACGTCATAGGGGGTTCTTAAATGAATGCATCGTTGAGATATATCCTTCAATAAGAGATGAAACCCATAATGTTCCAACAGGTATCTTCTATCAAAGGTTCTTTCATTGAAAAAGGTTACAAAAACGTCCTATTCTACGGTCCTACTGTTGTCCTGTAACTACGTCGAAATGTTGCCGACATGTCAGTCAAGTCTTTCGCAAGTACTATTCTCGGAATCATACTCAATAATTATCTAAATCCAAATAGGTGTTCTATAAATCTATACTTCATGCCGACGATCTATACCTTTAAACGATTATCATATTATCGTACTTTTCCATAACTGAACTGATACTAAAGTAAAACGCCGAAAATATAACAAAACTAAGAACTAATTGCCATACTACATAGCTACATATTTACATAATAATAGTAAATGCAAAAAGATATTACTTCCAAGCAGAGTCCAGAAAAGTTGTTAACTTTCCTCCAGACAAAAACACCCCAAAGGGCAAATCTTCCTCACAAAACAATAGAAAATGGGCATGGCTTGGGTGTGATCTAATAACTGATTACGTTTGTGATCTATGCAGCTGAATACGTAATAGCTATGGAGAAGAGAGAAAGCACATATAGAGAAAGAATAAGAAACAAAAGGGGAGAAGAACGCAGAAGGGGGTACAATGCCTGCCAAAAGTCTTGGAACACTGACGTCAATTTCTAGAGTCAACATCACTCATCCCCTTGTCCCTTGCCTGGGTCTGGTTCACAGGCTACCTCTCCCCTACAGAACAATGTTGGTTTACTATCAAACGGATTAGGATTTTAGGAAGCACTTTCTTTTGCGCTTCTCTTACGATATTACTCTAAATTATCAACATTGTTTTAGGGAGAAGGGGATGGGAGAAGTAATTTTTTCGGGAAAGGAATGAAAGATATCAAATGCAATGCAAATTGCTGGGTGTTCCAAGCACTTTTGGCAGGCATTGTAGTAAATGCAAATGGGTTTAGATAGTATAGTTACTTTTTATAAGCATTTGCTTGAAGCGTTTTTAAATAATCTTTTTTAAAGGAGCTTTTTTAAATGTTTTGTGGTTTTAATCGTTCCATAATTTTACACCAGAGGTTGTTATAAATGTTCGTACCAAGCTGGTTCTAATTTATGGTTCTAATTTATGGAGCGAAGAAGTTCCCTAAGACCGGATACACTGTGCCGAAGACGTTTACACTGTGCCGGATAAATTTTATCCACATAAAACTTGTTCGGATTGATTTGCGTTTACACTGTGCCGCACAAATTTTGTCCACTTTGCTCTCCCGTTTACACTGTGCCGGATAACTGCAGTCACGTGATTTAAGTCGCGCACAGAACGTCCAAAACAAAGTCATCTCTGGGCAACAAAATAACAACTAAATTCCCGCCAACGTAAAAAGACTTTTAATTCTCTCTTCAGAATCATCTGCTTCTCTTTCAGACATAGTCCGAAGATGTTGTCAAACACATTGGTCAAAGTTAGTTTTAATAATTCATTCTCTGAAACAAAATGAGGCTGAAATAGCGAAGAAAGTGGGAAAAGCTGACAAGGATGCCAGTTTTACATGGACTGATGAAGATATTGCACTTTTAACAAGAGTATTTAGCGACTACAAGGCAGCCAAGATGGCGAAAGGTCTTGATTGGGAGACAGTGAAAACTAAATAGGAAGAAATAGCCAATCGCTTTCGAGCAAGATACGATGTGGGTAAAATTTATCCGGATAAAACCGTTAACACTGTACCACATATCTATCCGAACTAATTTAATTCACTTTACTAGGTGAACTAATCTTGTTCCGATATCCGCTCTCAAATTCGTGCGGATATACTTGCTGAAAAACGCGCTGCGTGCGCATAGCTGCCGAAAATGCTAACCATATTTGGTCAGCGTCATGACGCGCCGCGTCCAGTGTGAATTCAACGTAATAGATATACAAAACAGCCATAACGCATTCTCACTGGGCGAGTTGCTGTGAATTTTGTTTGGTGTCAACGTCCAAGTCAATTTCCATGATATCAGGATTCGGCATTTTTTGTCGTGTCGGACGCTAAAATGACAGAGGAAGACACTTCTTTTGACTTTTGTCTCGGTTTAATAGCCTTAAAATTTGGTTTGTTGGTGTTTTCTGTAAGCAATTAGATTCAATTGTACGATTAAAATGAAGCTAAAGGCCCTAGGGCCTTGGCCTTCAGGAGCCTAGCTAGAGGCCTTTCGGGAATGAGCCCAGGATTTTCCAGCAACAGTATACAGCCCTTTCTTTTAATGAAAAGATCCCATTTTTATAAAAAAAACTCCCTTTGCATTGCTCTATAGAAAATAATACCTCCGCTTCTCGTCCTCGCCATGTCTGTGGTTCTGTTTGTGATCTTCCTCGAGGGCATAAGGCATCTGGTCCGGATTTTATTACTGAAATCAGAAATTGTGTTGCTGTTTTGTGTATTGTCAAGTAATCAAGTCATGGAGCATTTCGAAGGCAAGGGTGTAAAGACGTGAGGACAACAATCTCTTTCAAGTAGCGAACATGTCAGAGTATCATTTCACGGATTGCAAGTGGCTTTCTGCGAATCACTTTCTTTTTCAAATTGCGAATGTCTGTCTGGCTGCATCGTACTTAGTCCCCGATAGCCTTAATGGTTTGTTTATGTTGCGAGGGGCTCTTGGCCTAGGAGGTTTGTTCTTTGCACTCTGGGGATGGTGGATTCTCTGTGCGCCGGACACTTTCGTTTGGAATGTCTTATTCATGGTTTTCAACTTCGGACATTTAGCATACTTGATTTACAAAGTGAAGAGGCCGCGGCGATTCTCTAGTGAAGCTGAATCAGTTTATAAGTACCTTTTTGGCCCTTTGGGAGTACAGCGCTACCAGTTCCAGAAACTTGCGAATCTCAGCTCGGTGATAAAGCTTTCATCTGGTGAAATTTACGGAAAAGAAGACACCCCTGCTGATCGTGTTTCCATATTGCTGACTGGCGGGTAAATTATTGAATAACAGCACATTTTGATTTAGGTGGTGGGGTTGGCTCTAGACAAGTTGGCAATTTTTATGTTAGTTTTTCGCCCATTATCTTTGATTCTTCATACTTCCCCCTAAATCGTGAGGGAGCCTAAGCCCCCAGCCCCCAGCGCCCCTGCTCTAGCGTTCCTGTTATCGATGTTTATTTGTATGGATACTGAGATGCCAACCGATGGGTTTAAAGAGGCAACCGTATTTTCTTTAAAAATTCATTGTGGAGGGCTTTCACGAAAGCCAGGGAAAACAAGACTGTCGGGTGTGCAACCGCCACTTGTTCTGTATAATTATCTTTCGTAGTGGAATGTGTAATCTGATTTAGCCATTGTTTCTTAACGTAAGAAAAACATCACGTGTTATGTATTGTCAACAAATTACTCCACCAGATACCTCCAGGCGAGGGGCAAATTTCTCCAAGAAAATCTCGTACTCCTTTTGTGAAAGTCCTATTGTTTCATCTGAAAATCCCCAGAAATCCTATTGTTTTAGGGAAAATCTCGTACGCTATTTGCAAGAGTGAATTGCCCCTCGTCTCCAGATGCTGGAGGCTTTGTGACAAAATCGAATGAGGCCACCTTCGCCTCGAGGCCATGGGACAATTAGTTCCTCTTGCCCCTCTGTGGCCCTGCCCTCTATAAGGGCTTCGTCTAAACATCGAAATTGTAAGTACTTTTAGAGCTTGTTAAATATTGTGTCATTAATCAAGGTTTTTTATCGTTTTCTAATCGAACACAGCAGCTCTCTTTCTCTCAACAACTTTCTTCTAATTTAGGATTATGCTCAACAGCCTTAATGCTTTTTGAAATCATATAAACCTTCTTTTAAACAAAACCTCCACTTTTCTTTAAAAAAACAGTCCCATGTTTATTTACAATATCAATAGAAAGCATTTCGTCATGAACGAACAACTCGCCGCCTCCCGCCCCGCCCCCTCCCGCCCCCGCCCCCTCCCCCCCCCCCCCATCCATGAAAATATGTCATGCTTTTTGGCGTTTTGCAATTTCACTAACTCCTTATTCTCCGTCCTGTATTTTTTTAATAACCCTTAAGACATCATAGAAAAGTTGTTCATGCATCAATTTTCAATGCAAAAAGGTATTATTGCCCACCATAACGATGAAGAGTTGTCTTTGGGCTGCATTTCTTCATTTTTCTTAAATTTTGAAGGAATTTTTTCTCAGAAAAGCTTCCTTGAAAGTGTGGTGAATCCGCTGAAAGTTAGGTACTAAGGGGCAATGACCCCCAACATTCAAGTACTAGGTCACTATTTTCAACGTAATAAATCTCAAGTCTTCTTAAGTGTGGCGAAAATTCAGAATTGGTTTTTTGTAGGCAATTATCATATATTTCCTTATTCCATGATTTTTCCTTTTAATATCTATATAGTTCTGATCAAATCTTCAGAATTCTATATTCATTCTCTTTTTAATTTAGAATCGAAGCCAGGAAAGGAGATAGACTTCTGCATGTCATGAAAGTGTTTGAATTCGTCGACTCCCCAGAATGGGCGACTTTTCGACCTGGAATGATTTCGCGTTATGGGGTAAGGTAAATTTAGATTCTTTTAAGAATTGGTTTAAAAAATTACGACAGAGGTGCCTTCGACTGACAAAAAGTTGTCTCGTTTTGCAGGTTTCGTTGGTTGCATGCGAAGAATGCACTTTTCTGAGTTGGGATGCATCAGCATTGAGAAATTCGTTGAGAAGAGATCAGTTCTTGAAAAACGTATTCAATTCGCTGATTGGACAAGACGTAACAAGCAAGCTTCTACACCTAGATCGTAACTTTGAAGGGAATAATGCGCAAGAAAGCAGTGCTCTTGTGTACGAAAAGCAACATCACGCTGCAAGCTCATTGAATAGTAAGTTATGGAATACACTTATAATGATGATAATAATAATAAAACAACAACAACAATAATGATAATAATAATTAATAATAATAATGATAATAATAATAATAGCGGATGTTAACAGATCTACATAACATGGCTGTTCTCTGTTAAATAATAAGGAAGATATTGTTTAAAAAGTGTCTATTAAATACGTTAAAATAAAGGGAAAGATAATTTTCTAAACTAACTTAATACATTCTACAATTAAAAACTTTTTATTTAATTTATTAAAAACTTTGCGATTTTATTCTTTAAAAAGTCTTTCGATAATAATACAAATTTACTATATAAACTACAGTTCTTTATGTTTCCTGGCAAAGAATTGAAGAATCTTGCTGCATTATCCTTGAAGGTTCCGGTTTCTTTCGGTATAATTAGTGATTTGGCTCTGCTTGATCGTAGCTCTCTGGTAATTCTTTTCTTGTCAAGAAGCAAGTATCTTGATCAGGACTTATCATTAATCGCTTTGAATGCAGATTTTAGGAGATTTAGTTCCCTTCGTTCTTTCTTATCCTTCCCTATCTTCGGATATTCGTTAGCAATGTATTCTTTTTTATCTTTTGCAAGGTTCTCTGAAGCACATTTTTACCATTTTTACAACTTTTTAGGCTGCTTACAAATCATTTCCACTGCTTCATGAGCTAAAACTGACGGATTTGTAGACAATTACATAGCTATATGAAAACCCCGTTATAACTTTCTACTTCTTCTCAGGCAAAAGGGCTCGTCTCCACAAACTTTCTTACCATTACTGATATTTTAGCAAAAATGTGATGAGCTGCATTGCGACGCCAGAAAATATTTAAAATCATTTTAATAAAGGAAAGTTTCACATTCTCAAACTTTCTTCATTACTCATTTTTTCATTGTTCCTTATAAAGAAAGTTCTAATGTATATAATGATTATTTACACAGTAATTCGATATTTCAGCCTAAATTGAAATATTTTTTTTTCTCTTCAGAAGAACCTGAGAAACATAATGCCGCTTTCCCTGTCAACTCTGGTACTGAAATGGGAGATATCACAATTAATTGCGAAACGTCAGAACTTGAAAAAGTTTAGAGGGTGTCAGATTAATTTTCAGTATTTTGGCTCATATATTTTGAAGTATGGTTTTTGAGTTAATGCTTTTTCATAATGAGCAATTTTAAATTTTTCGGAGGCTTTTAATATTTTTGTAAGTGGAAATGCAATTTTGTATTTATTGGCCTTGAAAATGTGAGATTTTTACCGCGAGTCCTGTATTTCTGTTTTGCTACCCTTTGTTCTAAATCTATTTTACTATCCTCTTGTTTGACGTTTACCTTCATCCCATACATGTGCTTGGTTTTAACATCTTCGCTGACAAAAGATGTTAACAAAAACCTTTCCATCCTAAAGTTTCTTTTAAAATTCTTTGTTTCATATCATTCAGCAATACATAAAACTCTCTTTAAATAAACTTTCTCTACTTCTTCAAAGACTTACCATTTTCATTGCTTGTAGAGTGTAACTTGCCCCAACTTTCAGTTAAATTATTTGCGTCCAAAGTCGGAGGTAATTTTCTGAAAGCAAAAAGCTTGAGTTTTCATCACTGCTTTTTGCATTGGCGTTAGCGTTCTCGAAAACCAAAACATCTAGTGCATTGATTTAATGTAAAAAGATCTCAAGTCCATTCATTCATATAAGGACTACCTCGAGAACTTATTAGGCTCTTTTCTTTTTAATTCCTATTAAGGTTGTATTTTGTTTTTCAAAAATGGCTCTGAAAAAAAGCAATCATTGTCAAACATACTAAAGCTTTTTGTCGGACACTTTTCAGAGTAGAAAACGTAAGAACATAGATCGAGAACTCTATGCTAGGTAATATATATACAGGTGCACCTACCCTGGAGGGGCTGTAGGGGCAGCTGCCTATCTTGCCTTCTTCAAGAAGGGACAGAAGGGGCAAGAAGTGCCTTAAAATATCAACTGCCAAGAAAAGGTTTTAGAATCTCGTAGATTTGATGACTAGTTTAGCCACTCTCATTGTTTTAATTTCAATTAGAAATTAAAGAAAATATAAAAATTCCTCCTTTTTGATGTCGGTCTTTGGAAAATTTCACTACCCCTCTCCTCACAAATAATCGATTTTGATAGTGGAAAAACTTCCAGTTTTTGCCCTCAGTACCAGCACTGCCCCTCCTACCTTAATCTTGCACAAGCGCCCCTGTATATATACCCAGTTGTGAAATATGCCAATGATTGGTGTGACTGCAGAATTAAGAGCAACAGGAAGTACCGGAAATTGCAAAGGTGCGAACAAAAGTCAAGTCAAGCACGCATGCAAAAATGTTTAAGAGCTACTTCGGAGGTAATATTGTCCTCACATTGCCCTCGTTATCAAGAAATCTTTCAATAAACTTTGGTCATAAAATTTTCAAAGCATTACAGAATAGCAGCCAAAGATTTTCCCTTCAACCCTCAGCGCACGCAACGCAGCATGGAAATTTACGACTATTGTGCGAAGTTGAAATTCCCATACTGGCCTATGGCCTCTGACCTTGAACCAACCTTTTCAGTCCAGATATTAGTGCATGCAGCCTTAATGGGATGAGTGCCTTTGTGAATCGCTGTGGAATGCATTGTTAACAGTTAGGCGAAACAATACATTCACAGTCGTTATTGGTATGAATCTAAACGAGAAGAAAGGTTATTTAGGAAAGTGAAACAAATATAAGGGTTGTTCTAGGACTACGGTGAGATGTCGGAGTATCATTTCACGGATTGCAAGTGGCTTTCTGCGAATCATTTTCTTTTTCAAATTGCGAATGTCTGTCTGGCTGCATCGTACTTAGCCCCCGATAGCCTCAATGGTTTGTTTATGTTGCGAGGGGCTCTTGGCCTAGGAGGTTTGTTCTTTGCACTATGGGGATGGTGGATTCTCTGTGCGCCGGACACTTTCGTTTGGAATGTCTTATTCATGGTTTTCAACTTCGGACATTTAGCATACTTGATTTACAAAGTGAAGAGGCCGCGGCGATTCTCTAGTGAAGCTGAATCAGTTTATATACATCTTTTTGAGCCACTTGGAGTGGAACGCTACCAGTTTCAGAAAATTGCAAACCTTAGCTCAGCTTCTACCATTCAGGCAGGAGAATGTTATGGCAGGGAGAAAACACCGGTGGAGAGAGTCTCAATACTTCTCTCCGGAGGGTAATTCTGTTTTCATTTCTTTTTGCAACTGTGATTAATCTCCTCCTAAGGCGTGGTTAAACATGCTTATATTGTCGAAGAAATAAAGAATACAAGCCTTTTAGGGGCCTGATTTCACGAGAGTTGTTACCACAGGGTTGGGATTTTTGCCCTCTTTCCCGAGGTTAAATTCTATCTCTTCTTTCGTATGAACGGTGAATTCAGCCTTCTTGTTCTGCCAGTGATAAACGCCTAATTATCACTTTGTCCTACTGTTATCAGTGAATTCCTACTGACAAGGGTGTCGCCAAGGAGAGGGGTATGGGGAACCCCCCTAAAACAGCCAGGGGGAAGCGCCTTACCCCTAATTAGGCACGTAAATACTGGGGGTGTTTTTTTGAGGGGGGGGGCTGTGACACCCCCCTTATCTTTTATTCAGTCGGAAAGTTAAGGACAGTCGGAAAATTTAAAGCTATTAAAGTTCAGGCCCTCATACAAAATTAGAATTGACCTTTGTCAGTCGGAATTTTTGAGCCCTTCACCCCCCCCCCCAAAAATATCTGCCAATTTTAGTCCCTGCCGCTAATACTTTGTTTTTCGGGAAAAAGAAGAATTTTTCACCCTGTAGCATTTCTGTAGTAGCTCAAGCATAGCACTAAAGATACTTGAAATTTAATTTTTCGAATGCTGAACATGGGATGGGATCCGACATAGGTTGAAAAATGGGGGAGGGAGCCAAGGGAGAATTTAACACCTATAACAAAAGATTTTGAAAAAGCTCTATTGTTTTTCAAAAAAGTTGGAAGCCACGGTCTCCCGGACCACCCAATTCCCCCCCCCCCCCCATCCCTCTTCGTCGGAGGCCCTGCTGAATATTTCATCTTGTGTCAACATCTTAAAAAGTAAGACAGGCCCTTTTTGTCGGCCAAAATCATATCTCTACCTCTCCCAAAAGGAATTGTTGGATCCGCTCCTGCCTAATGATTTGAATTACACTCGACTGATGTATAGTTTGTAGCCTTGCAAATGAAATCCACCAGGGGCAGGCCCCAGAAAAGCATCCATTCATCTAGCCTGGGTCACAGACCATAGCTGAGGAGGAGCTAGGGTCTGTCTGGAATGCGCGCGTCACTGTGAGTTTTGCAGTTCGAAGAAAGTAAATTAAAGGAAGCGCTAAAATGTCGTTTTTATTAAGTCCTGGCATTGAGGAAAGAGCAAGAAGATACTATACGGACATGCTATTCAATATTTTTTCCTTGTCAAGATGCTATTTTCCGTTTTTTTCTACGTTTGAACCTATCTAGGTATGGCGCCCGAAAACCCAAAAAGGGACCTTCAAAAGTGATGCCATTCGAACCCAGACAGATCGACGCTGTGATGTAATAGGTTTGACACGTTCCTTCCATATCCATTGGAACTCTTGTTATTGATGTTAATAGAAAATCTTGCAGAAGAAGATAAAAGCATGAAAAATTGTCAAAATACAAAGTTTGATACGCTGAAAAAGATAGGATGCAGACCCCAACTGGCAAATGTCCCCTCGAGCTATATTTAGACTGGGTACTTTATAAAGGACTTTGAAGAGGCCTTTCAATAAATCAGCCGCAAAACATGCTTAAAAATGAAACTGGGGAACTTACATAGTTTGATACGCTGAAAATTATAGGATGTTGTCCAGAAATCACAAATTACCCCTCGAGTTATTATTTGACAGGGGTACTCGATTCAAGGACCTTGAAGGAGTTTTTCCATATATCAGTTGCAAAAGACATTTACAGCATGGGACTTGGTACAAGTAGATGGTTTGATACGGTGAACAATATTGGTTGGTGCCCCCAAGAGCTATTTTTAGATTGGGGTACTTGCTCTCAGGCTTTAAGGATTTTTTCCAAAATCAGTTGCAAAACGCAATTAAAGCATGCATCGTGCTGCAAGTACATGATTTGATTGCCAAAAAGAGATGATGCAGTCCCCAAGTGACAAATATCTCTTGTGCTTTTTTAAGACAGGTGTGCTCGATTCAAGGTTTTAACGAGTTTTCTATAAACCAGTTGCAAATGACTTCAGTATAGAGCTTGGGAGAAAAGTTCTCAAAAACTGCAAAGCATGAAAATAAGATTGTTCTAGAAAACTATTTACTCATTGTGCAATGAAAAATTATTGTGTCAGGATAATTGAATTGTAGTCTTGACATGTAATTTGCATTGAGAAAATCTAGTTTAAAAGCATGGTAATTTGCATTGAGAAAATTTAAAAATGATTTAGGAATATAAATCGCAAGTACATAAAGAAAATTATATGGATTTAAAGTCCATATCAAATGTATTTTAGGTTGGATTCCAAGCATTGGGCTGCCCCTGGGCCCGGCCTAATGCTTGATTTTTCTGAAGAGGTGTTAGTTTCTTGTGAAGGAACCTCCTGATTCAATAGCAACTGTTGTTTTTATTGCACAAGTGAGAGCAGTTCGTACTGCCTTTGAGTCTTGTCCTTGAAATATGAGTCGGCAAGGAGGAGAATCTCTTTGTGAACAAGAGCCTTGAAGGGGCTGTATTCTGTTATGCAGTAACTCATGTCTGTTTGTTAAACCATCAGAAGTGAGCTTGTTATGCGTCTCGTTTATTTCTCGGCAGCAGCAGTACTCCCTGGTAAGCGATTATGTCGATCACTTTGTATACGAGCACCTGTGATAAAAAAATATAATGACGATTCGGTTTTTCCCTTTTCTTTACCACTTTATTGAAATAGAGTTCGCTAGTCTAGTGAAAGCACTGTGAGTGAAAACCTACAGTAGCTAAGGCCTGTTTATCAGGCTAGTCTACCATTTGCTTAAGGCCAGTAGGTCAGGCTCGTGTCGGTGAATATTTCTGCCTTGAAATACTATAAATTGTCATGAAACAGAAAAATAAAGAATTCAATTTAACCATTAATTCAAGGCAACTTGTTGCTCAAACCAACTTCCTGTCCTCTCGCCCCAGACCCCGGTATCACTTTTAGTCTTCAATCCTGAGTTTTAAAGTTGAAATTTTGTTGTCTCGCAGGTATCTTTCGAAAATTTAATCAATATTTTATTAATCAGCGCCAGAGAATTGCCTGTGTCGAAGTAATCCTGGATAGGAACAAAACCTGGCCTCAATAATTAACTGGCCTCATTCTAGGTTGAATCCACTCCTAGCTGAAAAATTAGTTTCTCTCGTGTAAACCGAAACTGGAAAGAGTCCATATTGATAGCAGCCTGTGTATCCGCATTTGTTTGTATTGAGAATTGAGGAGACAATCATGGGAGTTTACATACAGACCTTGGTCTTTCTGCATTCAAACCACACGTTATATTGTGAAAATTTGCTACCAGAAATCAAAAGTCAATGATAATTTCTCAGTTTTACGAATCCAAATTACGTACAAATTTTCAGAGAAAGAAAACATGCAACAGAATGGCTTGTACAATGTACAAGTTTTTACGACAAACAGAGTCAGTAGACGCTTTAACTTATTAGAGTGTATGCGCTAAAGATTGATTGAACCTTTGCTCATCCCAAGTTGGATTTACACAACATTCAACTCAGGGTCGTAGCATATATTACTTGAAACGTTTTACGCTATAACGATTTCGATACATTTTCTTTTGTCCTCAATAGCTTTGTGCCATTTTCATAAACCATGAATCCAACACTTTATGCAATGCAGCTACTTAGCTTTGCTTTGTGCAGTTACTTTGATTCTTATGGGCAACCTTTTTGAGAAAAACTCTTGATTCTTTTTAGGGTTGAAGCAAAGAAAGGCGGAAAGCTGCTACATGCAATCCGGGAGTATGAATTTCTTGATTCCCCTGAATGGGCTGTTTTCAGAGCTGGGGAGATATCTCGGTATGGGGTAAGGCAACATAATTTCGTTTATATACCACATGACACACTGTAACACAGTTACTATATCTCGTAGTTGCAGCGACAACAAGAACAATCAACAAAATTATGCATTTGTTGCCATTTGAATTTGACATACAATGATAATGTAATCCCTGCGAACGAACAAGTTCGTCTTTTCCTCCACCGGACTGGCTGAAATACACGATCAGTTTTTTCGTATGCTTTTCTCATCAGTCAAATTATGTGACGTTTTTTCGACTGACAAGGCAAAACTGTCAGTTTTCTAAAAGTCTGACGTGCACAACTTTTTAGTCAAACTGATCAGTCAAAATTTTATCCGAATCGGAAACTGGTTTTATCTTTAAAAACCTCTTGTACTCATCCTTCTCCTGTTGGCGAAATTCTCTCAACCATGTGTCGAACATTCCAGGCTGCGAACGTTTTTGTAGCCATGGTTTTACCCATGTGAATCCCTGTTTCTCCTCCTTTTTAGTTTTGAAATTGTGGCAATAATAATTACAGCTGCAGCACGTTCTGTGTCGCATTGCAAAACTGAAAAACTGAAGAATTTTGACTGATCGTGTAAGCATGTGCTTCTTCCGCTAAACTGATGAAAAAGCGGATGTAAAAAATTTTTGGGAAACACTGACAGAAAAAACTGATCGTGTATTTCGGCCTTAAGTCGTTTGTTGTGATCGACAGAGGGTCTCTATTAAAAACCTTCAATGGAAGACAATATAGACTTTCTTAAAAAACCTTTTTGGATAGACTTTATAAAACACAAGCCAAATTGTGACATTTTCCTCTTGATTGTGTGCAATTTCTTTTGCTTTCCTTCCACATTTTCACCTCTATTTTCCATTACGCACCTCACTCCCTATTTACCCCCATTTCGCATTTTCTTTCTCTATATTGAGAAAGATATCTGGTGCCTTGATTTATTTTTTTATTTTTTTTGGGCAGCACAAACGATGAAAGTTTTTGTTGCTGTTTTTCAGGTAACTCTTATTGCGAAAGAAGATTGCAAATTTCTCACATGGAAAAGCACTGATCTGCGGAGAAAGCTTCAGATGGACCCACTTATGAAAAACGTTTTCAATTCTTTGATTGGTCAGGACGTGACACAGAAGCTACTTTGCTTGGATCACAGTTACGAGATCCCAAGCTCGCCATCAGCAGTTGCAAAGATCTACGGCAATCAAGATTATATTGGAGGATACTTACACGGTAATATGTTTATGAACACTCAGCAAATTTGGTCTTATCAAAGCAATAATTGTTTCGTCTTACAGTTTGTCACTAAAGATTCGTGATGGTTCTTTTCTTGGGAGGGGACGGAGTGGGGGTGGGGGGGGTGTTGGCTGATCAAAATTGCTACCTTACCAGCAAATTATTCACCTAAGGTAAGGGCAGCTCACTTTTGCTGCGATGGTAATATAATGTCTTAGCATAATTAACATAATCAATATACGCAATATAATCACGCTGTCGATGTATCTTAATAACTGGATTCCAGAATGGATTAGAACTCGTATAATCAAGGACATTTTCCTATGGCTCATATCTATGAACATATATGGAACACGATAGGTAATAGCACAATAGTGGAAATGCTTCTATCAAATTTCTACTCTTAATTGTGTTCTGATTCCTACTCTGGTGCTCCGCTTCCTTTTTATTGGGTATTCATTATATAAACACTTTTACATAAATGTTATACAGTATGTTATTTTTTATTTTGTTATAAATGTTACAAATGTTATTTTGAGGTTATAAAATTCGTGAGGAAGACCAACAAAAATTAAAAAATTTAAAGCAACATTCCCATTGCCTGTCTTCTTTTTTTAAAGGGATTCTCAGGGCTTGATTAAATTGTCCGGAGAAACGATGATCACCTTTCTGGAATCTGGGCTTGCTCACGATTTAAAATGAAAATACGAAATTTTTCTATTTCCACAACAAACTCATTTAGATCTTCTTCTTCAGGTGTCTGATTGGGACTTGCAGACATCGACAATCATGGCTCTCCATCCCTCTCTGCATTCAGTCAACCTTATGGGTTCATGTGTCGTGTATTGGTGGTTCCTCGCGCATGTATACTTGCTCAGGCTGTCCATGAATTTTATTCGCTGTCTTCCTCTGCTTTCTTGCCGTTGATTTTTCCCAGTAATAAGCTTTTTTCAAGTCCGTTCACCTTCATTATATGTCCTAAGAATTTCAACTGTCTTTCTCTGATCGTGTTGAGTAGTGATCGCTTGTATCTAGCCATTCGCATTACTACTCCCTTGGTTTTTCTTTCTGTCCATGAGACCCTCAGGGTTCTTCGATTATACCACATCTCCACTGCTTTTAGCCGACGTTCAGTGTCTTTTGTTAAAATCCAACATTCCCTACCATAGAGAAAGACGGACCAGACATAAATCCTCAGGGTACGGATTTTCGTGTAGAGACTTCTATTTCTGTTTGTGATACCAATTCTGTTCTTGATTTCGGTGTCATTCTTCCCATCTGGTGTAATAGTGTGGCCGAGGTATTTGAAATTTTCCACTTGTTAAATGTTCTCTCCTTTGCATGATTTTCTATAGAGATCTTATATTTCTCTTTTATTTCTCTCTCCTATTCCGAATGGGCCTACTGTAGTTTCCTCCCTTTCTTTCCAACTTTTGAATTGGAGTCACCCAAAACAATTCTAATGTCTTGAGATCTCATTTGTTTCATTGCCTTTTCGATGGTTTCGTAGAACTCTTTGACTTTTTTATCTTCTTTGTCAGCTGTTGGTGCGTATGCTTGTATAATTCCGATGTCAAATGGTGTACCTTTGAGCTTTGCTGTTATGGCTCTGTCATTAATAGTCCAGAAACCTTTTAAGGCTCTCGGTGTTTCGGTAACTAAGATAATTCCTTCTTCATAGTGATGTTTATCTCCTCCTGAATAAAGAACTGTCTAATCGTCCGATGTTATTCAACCTTATCCCTTCAATCTCACATCTTAGAGTCCGAGTATGTTAAGTCTCATTCTTTTAATTTCTTGTTTTATATTATCTAATTTTCCTTTCTGGAGATGGGTTTGTACGTTCCATGTTCCGATCTTCATTTTCTCTCCGTTGCGGACAGTCGTTGGATGACGGTCTTGGGAAACCTGCCGCACATACCGCTCCACCCTACCGAGCAAGGGATCTCCAGAGGGACTGGAAACCCTCTTAACGCTGTTGACTGAATTCCGAGTATTCTGCTTCACCATGATATTCTTTTTACAGTAAATACCCATAGTAGGTTGCAGTTACTTGCTATAGGGGCAGTGCTTATACAGAGCGGGTGCCATTGCACTGTAAATAGTATTATCTGCCTAACACATTGGAAAGCTGACCAGTTCCCGAACTATCCGGCTGCTCAACAGTCCGTCTGTCACCTGCCTGCCGTGACTTCACGCACCCTGACCAGGGGGGCTTAGTGGGTACTCGACCTTGCCCAAGGGTCTCCCACTGGCTGTGGAGGGAAGGAGATGCCTTACTTTCTCTTGTTGGTGGTGATGTTCCACCCCACTACCCACCACCTTAAATACCATTTTGATAGACAATCTGAAATACTGACCCATTGAAAACATTATGCCTGCATTTAACAGCTTCTGGAAATAGCACAGGTCCACAGAAAAGAGCCTGAGTACCAACAACCCTTCATAATTTTGAGCCTACGTAAATTAGATCGTTTGTAAGAGAGGGTTTAGTTTGATTTGACAAGCATTTCTCTTTTTTTCGCAGCATTCTCCGAGCCCCAACAAGGAAACCCTGAAAACGTTGGAAACTTCGATGGCACTATGGAGAAGGTGCCTTTGCTGGGTGTTAAGTCATCTGATTCTGTACCACGTGGGCGATCATCAGGCAATCACAACACCGAATCGGTCTGAAATTCTTCGATTAGTTGCGTTTAAGTTTTTTTAAATCTAAAAATTTGCAATAGCTTACCTTCGAATTAGTGACTGACTTCAATAAACATTTTGTACTTCTTAATGGACAAGATATTTTCAAGCTATTTTTAACTTCTTTTTTATTTTTATTAGCCATTTTTGAAAATCCGCAAGCGATAACAAGTTTTGGTTCATAAATGTTGAAATAATATTGAAATTAGGGGTGTCTTTTGCGTTGGTTCATTTTACTTGTGCGCGTAATACCATGTGACTCTATTTTTGTCAACCTTCATATGTATATAACTGTGCTGATTATGTCATGCTACGATCTTCCTGTAGCAAAATCAAGTAATTTCACTTTGGCGATCCTACTCGAAACTTTAAAAAGCAGAATTCAGTTTCTTCTGAGGAAGGAGATAAACTCTTTTATGTCTTTGTCGGTTTTTATTGTTATTACCTTACATCAGAAGGTAGTTTCTGGAACACTGAGAAGCTGTGCGAGTAGTGCCCTTGTTCTTCCTAAGGCTTGGCTACACCTTGTGATTCCTACGCCTGGAATACAAGAGAGTTGGCGACTCTCCTCCCTCCGAGAGAAAGTGTCATGCTAGAAACTCAAGCCGCAGGGCCTTGGGTCTGTAGTCAGCGACTTTAACTAGAGCCATCTTTGTTGTTGCCAGAACTTCTTGAATACTTTTATACATTTCTGACAAATCTGGGTAACGATTTGTGAGTTATATAAGAACGGACTTGATAAAGTGTAAAAAAAATAAACTTTTTAGACAAGTAGCATTTGGTTTATTTTATATTTTGTCAGATGACCTCCAAGAATCTCGGCAGCCGCCATTTGCATTGAAACTCACTGAAATAATTTTCCAACGAAATATCTTCGGATACAGAAGAGAAAGTAAACAAAATTTTAAAAGAGCCTGTTTTTGGTCTTAGAAGATTCCTTCTTTTTTAATGGAAAACGGTTGTTTTCAATTACATCAAGGCTTCAACCTTGACGGGGTTATTGAAAGACCATTGTGTTATTGATTTTGAATATTTATGTCACAATTGCAACATAACTAGGTTTCTTGTCTTGCTTAAACATAAATGATCATTGCAAAGAATCATTACTTGTTTCTGTACCGGGGGCTTTCCAAGAATAATTGGACATATTATTCAGCATTTATTGACTTCGCCCACAACACCAGCTTGCCGATGCCATTAGGCCCAACCAATAGTCTGCCTGTACTGGTCTACCATTCTTTGAAATTTAACCGGCCTTGTTAACTTATTGTTCTTGTAAATAACATGCCAGTCTCTTGCAGTTTCAGCAAACAAATGACACGCTAGACCCAAGTTTTGGAGACGCCATTTTGTTATTCATCGTCCTAATAGTTTTGTCACGTAAGTGTACATAAATGCATACATAGACACATACACACACACATACACATACATACATACATACATACATACATACATACATACATACATACATACATACATACGTACATACATGCATTCAGATTAAACTAATGGCAGCTTGCAGCTGATGGGTACCTGTTTTCTACGAATACAATTTATGCTAATACAATTTAAGAAAAAAAATAAAACGTTAAAAATACATAAAATTTTCCTTTTGATCCTCGCCCAGGGCATTACATAGTAATGGTCATCAATAGCGAATAGAGTTTCTCCCTGCTTTAGTTCTGTACTCGGGGACATTCAACTTTGTACCACTGCAATGGTGACGTTTAGTTTTTACACTCTTCTGCATTAAATGATTTGGTGATATAGTTGATCTGAGGTCGCCAAGAGAGCTTCTGATCTAGTTTTACACCAAGGCATTTAGCTTCAGCTACTTATTCTATTTGTGTGTTTCCAATCTTTAATTCATTCAAGGGGCTAATGAACTTTTGTCTGTTTATTAGTAATACTTTTGTCTTGCCAGTGTGTATCGTTATTTTATGTCTGGAGCACCAACTTTGTATATCTTTAAACATTTTCTCTAAGGACTCATGCACCTCATCAATGGAATTGCCCATGCAGTAGGCTGTTGTATCATCGGCATACAAATCTATTTCACCTTGAGCTGTGCAAGATGGAAAATCTTCAACATATATTGAAAACAATCAATCAATCTCACAACCAATCATATTTGAGCCATTACGTCATAACTTGAGTCACACTCATTCAGAAATGCTTGAAATAGTTTTACCTAACAAAACAGTGGAATCCAAAAATAAGCCCTTTTCTACTTTTGCTATAGTTTTTTGAAAAATTTTCTTTCATGGCAACACATCCCCGGATGGCACTTTCCTTTTAGCTTCTTTTCTTGAAATTATTTTTGAAATTTTGTGTAGATTTGGCAAGGTGCCAGAATATCGATTGGACGAGAGATGCCATCATAATCTACCGTGCTTCTCATTGAACATCCTTCAAAACTATTTCCGTCCAATGTCGAAGGCAGTCTCCTGGAAGCAACAGGTTTCGGATTTTATGTCATTGCATTTTGCATTGGAGCTTGTACGTCCTTTCTGATAATTATATCAGGAGTACCCCAAGGATCAGCGTAGAGCTCTATTCTTTTGAAATTCTATGTCGATGGTTTTTGGCTCAACAAAGCAAGCGATCATCTACAAATTTTGTTACAAATGGGATTAAAGCGCTTGAGGCATCAATCTTGACTTCCATTGCTATAATCAGAACAACTGAAAAAGATACTCCTAATGCCATAGACCACAAACTGTATTTTACTTTGCTGAATAATACGCTTACAGAATAAAGACATTCATAAACTGCTTTATACGTACTTAAAGAAACCAAGCAGAAATTTTTTATCATGTTTTTGAAAGAAAGGGAATGAAATAGTGTAGCAGGCAACTATATATACCATATGTCAGAACTTATATGTAAGGGTGAGGAGGAAAGATCTGTAGAACACGGGAATATCGTATGATAGTGATTATAGATGGACATTCTTGTGTTCCTTTACTCCTTGTTCAGACAAACACATTTAAATAGTGTATGGTCTATGGACTATAACTTCCGAAATTACCCAAGAACAAAGACGTTGTGGCTGATGACACGATAAATCTCCCAATGTGGAATACAGTATCAAAAAAGATGCCGCATTAGGCTTTATGTGCTATCTGGTACTAGACGATTATCACGAATTTCACGATAACGGTTGGCCGTAATCGTGTTTATCCACAGTGAGTACATGAAATTTAATCGTTTTACGCCCTCTAATCGTGAGCCGATGACGCCAGTCCTTTTGTTCAAAATAATGTGAAGAATTTATGAAGGCAAATGAAATTTTAATAAAGTCTCATTTTAGTCATTCGGTGTGCGTTATGTTTAGGATATCTTATCAAACATTCTGATTTCATAATGGAGAGTGAGAACTTGCAATTCGACAAGAAACTTTCTGAAGCTATGTAATGAAATTCCCGGTCGTCCAGTCGTTGTTCTCGAACCAATTCATGATATTCGCTGTAAGTTTTATTTTTGAAAATATCTCTGACCTACAACCTTCTCTTCTTTTTCTCTTATCTGTCTACGTTTTCTTAAGATGTATACAATACAACGCTCATCGTTGCAAGGAGCTTTATTCCTGTGAACAGTCATTTTGAGTATACGATCAACGCATCAGTGAGTTTAGCTGAACATCCTACTGTCAAGAAATATTTTGTCGTTATAAACGTGATAATCGTGATAATCGTCCAGTGAGTACCAGGCTTTACCGTCCTGTCTTTGATACAATAGTGCGTATTTACATGCCATTTACATGTCATAAACCTATGTCATTTGTGAGTATTTAAATGAGGTAGTTGCTTTTTAATTCGATATGTTTCGTGACGTGCGTTGGCCTAAATTCGAATGAACAATGAACGGATAGATGCACTGAAAAAATCAAAAAGACATGGAATACCATTTTAATCCATATGACTGCAATTGGCTTCCATTGAACGGTTTTTTGTTCCAGCTTGCAAATTTAATGCTTTGCTTAACTTATGTCGTTCCCGATACCCTCAATGGACTTTTCATGCTTCGTTTTTTCTTGGGATCGGCTGGCCTCTTCTTTACTCTTTGGGCATGGTGGAACATATGTGCTCCTGACACACTAGCGTGGAATGTTGTGTTTATGATTGGGAACTTTGTGCATGCTTTGTACATGTTTATTCATATCAAAAGACCACGAAAATTTCTGGAACATGTCGAGACTGTTTATGAAAAATTTTTCAAGCCAATGGGGATTCAAAGATTTCAGTTTCAAGTTCTTGCTGATAATTGTTCTGTTAGAACTTTAAAAGACGGAAAAGTTTATGGAGCTATAGGAGAAAAGGCAGAGCGGATATCTATACTTTTACAAGGACGGTATGAATGAAATCATTTTGCATTTTCAGAATTCTGTTAAATGGAACCTCTTGTTCACTGATATAATTGACCACAAAAGTGCACAGAAAACACAGAAGTGGTTCTTAATTCTATCTGTGCATTTATTCCAGTGTGGAATCCATGTAGCTTACGCCAGAGATATCCGGCGTAGACTAACAATTTCACATTGTCTTTCTATTGTTTATTGGCGTATGTCTGGCATGAGCCTCACATGGATTCCACCCTGGCATTGATTACAGTTTCTTCTTAATCCTTAAAATACCCATAAACAGTTTAAACCAAATACTCTGCCACTACAATACATTGAAGTTTGACAATTTTAAGAGAAAAAAGCGCAAAGAGAACCAACAGTGTTTCGATGTGTCAAATGTTAAAATCACCTGAAATCACCTGAAATTGCATGCAAATCAACCAAAACCATCAGCAAATCACCTGACCTACAACTATCTGGAATCACCTGGAATTATCCAAAATTCTCAAATTGCTTTAAATATTTCACACCTTGCTGACTTAGACACTGTTTTACATAAGACCAGTTAAAAAAAGATCTTCATCCAGTTGAGTTCACTTCCTCCTATTTACACGAGACCGCTTCCAAAATAGTTCACTTAGGCATTCTGTTCACACAAGACCTGAACTTGTAGTGATGGTTGTCAAAGGTAATCATGCCTTCCATTGTATCATTATTTACAGGAGATTGTTTCATGTGTATACACACTGCATTGTAATTTAGTCAGTAGAAATCATCTTACAAACTGCACAAAAAGTTTGCATCTCTCTGGCTCTGTGTCCTCTGCACGTTAAATAATATCGCACTGGTTGGAAACAGCACATTTTTCATTTAATGGACATTTTAGACAATCATTGATCGATGTTGTGATGAACACTAAAATGGTAACCATGATGTGACTGCTAGAAGATTAAAGGAAACACCCCCCTGCTATTTTTGCCCCTGGGTGTAGGAAGAGTATGCTTAACGTGTAAAAGAGTAGAAATGACAGTAAAGAATTAACCAGGCAGTCACATCATGGTTACCATTTTAGTGTTCATCACAACATCGATCAATGATTGTCTAAAATGTCCATTAAATGAAAAATGTGCTGTTTCCAACCAGTGCGATATTATTAAACGTGCAGAGGACACAGAGCCAGAGAGATGCAAACTTTTTGTGCAGTTTGTAAGATGATTTCTACTGACTAAATTACAATGCAGTGTGTATACACATGAAACAATAAAACAAGGGAATGCTACAAAATTGTTGTTGATTACATTTGTGGATAAGTAGAAAATGGAAGATGTTAATTACAATGATACAATGAAAGACATGATTACGTTCACAAATGATGCCTTAGACAGGAAAATAACTGGAAACTGACCAAAACTTTCACTTAAGACTACAGGGGACATCAATATTTGTGAGTAGTTTTTTTGTCCAGGGACAATTCACTCTTTTTTGTCCAGGGACAATTCACTCTTGCTAATTGATTTTTTAAATCAAAGGATTTAAAGGAGTTTTCAGACAAAAAGCTTTGGCTGGAGTGATTTTCCTCTCAACCATTTTCCTCAACCAACCTCCCAACCAATTCTCTAGCCAACTTTCAGGAGATTTACAGATAATTTGCTGGTGATTTTAGGTGATTGCTTTTGGTTCCAGGTGATTGCTTTTGGTTCCAGGTGATTTCAGCTTTTGTAATTGTCAACAAATCTTGTGCTGGTCAATTATGTCTTAATTGGATTCAGCATTAATTCCCATTGAATGTCTTTGTTGTGACTACCATGGATCTCTTGGTTTCAAATAGGATTTCTACGGCTGTTTTTAACTGATTGTCATTCTGAGGAGAGACATCAACATGAATAATTTTTTTTGCTGCCCGGGATGGGGAATTTTTATAGACCAAAGGACCAAAGAAATTTCCAATTTTTCATACCCTAGAGGAACAGATGGAGCCAGGAAAGGATGGGCAAAATATGTTCCTACAAAAAATCTTTTCAGTGTTATTACTTTGAATGCCAAAATTTGCTACAGGCAAGCTTTGTCCTGTGGGCTGCAGGTTGCTAATAAAGAGAAATCACACAATAAGTCTGACTACCTATAAGTTTAGGAAATACACAGCTGATTGAGTATCATTATACAAGTATATGCTTAGAACTTCAATAACATTGTTGCCTTTTACATTTTTATAAATGCATGTTTGTGATCATCCAGGATTTTATCTTAGCTTTTCTTTCATGAAATTTCTTACAGTGTTGAAGTAAAAAATGAAAACTGTGCTGTGCACATCACAGAACCTTATGAATTTTTGGACTCACCAGAATGGGCTTCAAGTAAACAAGATGAGCTTGCTGAATTCGCAGTAAGTTTTCATTATGGTTCATTACAATGTAGTCATACATTGTACATTAATCATACATTTATCGTTATATTTTGGTGCACAGTGACTGATAGTCACTCAAGGGTTTTTGTTAAACCTTTTTACAAATGTTTTTAATTATCCTTTTCATCATCAGTTTTGCGACAATAATTCAAAAATTTAAATTTTTGTTTTATCTACCACAAATTTTCAGCCCCGGGGGCTTATTGTTTTTCAGCACTTTAAAGGGGGCTTATAAGAGAGATGGGGCTTAATAAGTGTTTTGTAATAAACAACCATTTATACCGGTAAACTTTTTTTTTGTTATTTGCAAAATAAATAACATAAAATCAGCCTTCAATATCAATAATATTGTCATTGTCATCAATTATCAATTCTAAAATATCTTCTTTGGCCATGTCGCCTTCTGAAATCGAGCATTTGAAAAGGTCGACTTCATCCCTCAGAGTAATGCGTATTAAATCTTTGTCTTCGGATCTGTCATGACTGGAAGAGGCATGGTGTAATTTGATGTGAAGTATTGAATGACCAATGAATAACAGATCTGATTTTTGTCGAGTTAACTTATTTTGGCATCAGTGAAAATTTGGGGGGGGGGCTAAATTGAGAGGGGGCTAATTAAATGTTTCCTTCTGAAAAGGGGGCTAATAAGAAAGAGGGGCTTAATTGAGAGGGAGGCTTAAAAGAGAATTTACAGTATTAGAACTTCAAGCTATATTTTTTCTCTTTCAAAAAGGGTTTTCTTGTTTCTTTACAATTTTGAAAGTAAGTCGAAGGGTTCAGATGTAGGTACATGTTATTTTAAAGAACACATTAATTCTCAGGCAGTAGATGTTTTGAAATATGGTTATACAGTAGGCCACATTCTAAAACACAGACATATCAGCTTTGATAATAGGAAAATTTAGCGATATTAGACTTAATAACAGACACATGCTGAATATTATCAATAGCTGTCATATGTTGTTTAATGTCCAGGCTCTTATTTTCCAATGGGTTTATTTGATTAGCAGAAACAGTCTGTTAATAAGTGCACTGGCCAGAAACAATAGGGAGGCCACTGGCCATAAACTAGTATATACCAGATGGTGAAAAAGGGGTATCATCCACCAAGTGTTGAATTTCTGAGGCCACCTGATTCTGGTCAATTTTAGGAAGCTGATTCTTAACATCGAAGTTATACTATAAATATCCAGGGATTTTTGGTTATTGAAGTGTTGAATGCATACCTACAAGCAATACTAAGATTTTACAGAGATCACGAACTTGGATCATCGTTAGAAATCTTGTTGTTAGGAAACAATGTCAATATCGTGTTAAATATGACAGAGTCATCATCATAATCATCATTGTCCATCCATCCCACTCGGTCTTGCTCCAGATTCATGTAAGTCGTCTGCATTGTAGATCTCACTCTACAGATTGTAACCATGTTTTTTTATGGACGACTGTGTTCTCTGGTGCCATTCACTTGAAGTTGGTGCCATTCACTTCAAGTCGTTGAACACATTTCAGCCAGCAACTTCATCCTGTCTCTCTACATGACCAAACCAGCGAAGGCGTCTAAATGGTACTTCTGATTTGATTGAGTCAACACCGAAATTCGCTCACAATTCATTGCATGATTTTCGTTTGCAGAGAGAAAAACCACATATCCAACGGACCATTGCCATTTAATTGCGGTCAAGCTCCTGTATATTGTCAGCTTTAGTTGGACATGTTTCAAAGCCATAGACGCAAGTTTTATATAACTGCCCTCTAACTTCCAGAAAAAACTGCTTTAGATGTCAGAAGAGGCAGCCACTCGCGGAATTTCTTCCAGCCGCTGCGCACCCGCAGATTTTGCTCCACCACTAGAATCTAGGAAATCGCCAAGGTGACAAAATTTGTCAACGACCTCGAGATTGCAGTTTCCAAGTTGAACCTCAGTCAGAGCATATCTAGCCTCTAAATCAGTAGTACAACTTTTTCACCGGAAATCTTTTGTTGTAGATGGTTGACCTTTGACGCCACTAAAGTTAGCATGGACCCATCGTTTACAAGAGGTTCAGAAAATCGAATTGCTGCGGACACCTTTATTACTCCGCACGGGTGATGACCGGTTTATTTTAGGTACACAGCCGTAGCAGGAGATCACAACCTTTGTTTTGGCAGCATTTACACGGAAGCCTTCAGTAATTTTCATGGCAACCCCTTCCTAAATCCACGTGACAGAGCCTCTAAAACTATCATGAATAGCAGAGGACTAAGCACTGAACCCTGGTGAACACCAACCTTGACAGAAAATGCCTTACCAAGTTTGCCATTTATATCAGCTACGCTTTTAGAATCAGCATACATAACTTCATCCACACCTACTACTCTTAATGCCCATGACAGAACCTTTCGAGGTACCCTGTCAGTCGCTTTTTCAAGATCCACAAATGCAGAGTACAACTCCTCCTTTTTCTCCGTATTACGTTCTTGCACTTACCGAGCAATTAAAATTGCATTGACAGTTCCTCTTCTAAGCCTAAAATCATATTGCATTGAGTCAATCTCAACTTACTCTCTGATGTGATTTTCAATGACCTTTTCAAGCACCTTCATTGCGTGTTCTAATAACTTCTGACCCCTCTAGTTAACATGTTCTTTAGCATCTCCTTTGCCTTTAAAAAGATTTGTGATAACACTAAGTTCCCAGTCAGAACGTATTTTGTTTTGGCTAATGATATTATTGAAGAGATCAGTGTGAAGTACCAGACCACTTTCTCCGGAAGCTTTCAGCATTTCAGCTACAATGCCGGAGACCCTAGGTGCTTTACCATCACTTAGCTTTGAAAGAGCTGTCTTAACACTTTTTTTCGAAATACATGGAGGGGGACCGTCTTTAGGATCAATCGGGTCTAAGTGATGGCTGTTCCAAATAAACCTTTCGTTGAGAAGTCTCTCATAATGCTCATTCCATGCTTAAGTTGGTCTCGGTAATTATAGACAAGATCACCATGAACCTTCTTGACACAAGCATCGCTGATTACATCACAATTTTGTCTTTGAAGCTGACATAGATACGAAACGATCATTTTGTACGAATAAGCGATGTCAATACCTGCTTGATTCAATACGCCTCGATTGCTTTCTCCGATCATTTAGCGAAACCTCACCAAAAAAGCTTGGTTACTCTCATCGAGTGCAAGAACAAACGAAAAAGCATAGATGGGGAAACTTTACATGGAGTCCAGTGAGAGAGAAGATGAAAATACTACCAAAAGTTTACTTTTGCCAGAGCATTGATGAAAAGGAAACGGACATAAATGGTAGCATAAAAGACGAGGAAGTAGCAAAAACAATGTTAGCAAGGCTACTAGAGGATCTGTCTCCTTATCCTGCACATCAAATACCAGGAGACTGTTCCTGATATATGCATGATATGCAAGAAGAAGACCCTAAAAGTAAAGCAGAAAGGCCAACCACTTGCAAAAATCATAACAGAGACGGCAGCACTAAGAGAGAAAGGAAGCTGCCAAATGTAGAACTGATGCTGAACTGCTAATTGAAGTTACAGACACAGACTTGATTGCCAAAGGATTACAGAAACATGAGATGTGCCTACGAGAGCGCAATTGGATCGTGCGTAAAGGAACCGATGAAGAGGTGAGTGGCGATGAAGCAAATTTTGGTGGAGTCATCCTGAATGAAAACTTTTTGGTTGGCCAACAGTGTATGTCTATAGAGACCTTGCAGACTGCGTATTGCGTTGGTGTCGGGTCCCGATAGAGCAGGCGTCAGTTGTCGGAATGATTGCGCAAATCATTTGGGCACCAGTTTATCCTTCTTTCTCAGGAGTATCACACTTTCCAAATCCTGCAATTAGCAGTGAGTCTCAGACACGATCCAAGTCGCTTTAATTTTTAAGGGAAAACACTGTCAAAAAGGCAGGCCAGATGTTGTGAGATTCTTTGATCAAGTTCCAGAAGTACCAGATATTCCGTGGCCGCCCACCGTCGAGTGCTTGACTAGCAGCAGAACAAAATGCCTGGAATTTTGAAGTGATTATTTATCAACTTACTGTCTGCACCAAAATGGCATCATAAAGCTTTTCGATAGCGTCAGCAGACTGGCAGAGTCAATTGGGTTAGACGTTGTTGCTGCTGTTACGAAAGGAAAGTTCCTTACTGCCATACAAGCCCTTGTTGGACTAGGTCTCCATAGTTTAGAGCTTTGTCAGAATGGGAAAGGTGCCTGTTTGGAATGCAACGCTGAAGCGAGCTGATCACGCATAAATGTTTCACGAGTTATGTTGTATAGCTGACCCTTCTGACTGGTTGAGAAATTAGTTCCTGTACCTGTACGGCAACCAAAGAATGGGATCGGTGATTCCTCTAAAATAGATGTTTGTTGAAAAGTTTTAAAAGAAAGGGAAAATTCTCGCCCTTTGTCTCCTACCACCTTGCAAAGCTAATCTACAGCTGCACCCAATGTGGGCAAATTATGATGCCTGTAATTTTCGCAGAGCAAGTTGTTTAATACTTGAACGTGATAATTATACCAAGAACTCTTTAGGTCGAAATGGAAGCATCGTGTGGAGCGATCTTCGCTACCCGGAAGTCATCACAAAGTTACTTATTGATCTCAATGAAGAAAACGAGGCTGAAGATAACACAGAGGAGGATAAGGAAGTTGAAAGGGATGTTACAGAGCATCTCGACGACGATTTCTTCTAACTTTTTTCGTAACTGTGAAAGTTCCATTCAGCTCTTGCTGTTCACTTGTAAGATTTATTGTACTGGTACATCTTCTAAACTTGTAACTTATTGTGATTAAGGTTCTGCCATCTAAGACCTTGATGAACCTTATCCAGCCAGTAAATGGCTACAAAGCGCATTATAGTCGTTAGTGTGCTAAATCTCGACTTCTCTATAAACCGCTATTAAATTTAGAGATTTAGAGCTCCTTTGACATAAATAGCTAGGAAGTAGCTGTTTTTATATAATCTAGTTTTATTGTACTGTGGGACACTATATTTATCCATTGTAGTTCACTGAGCTATGCATTGAGCTGCTGCTTTCCAAATAATTGCAAGCAAGACTTCAGTTGCTTAAACGAGGTTAATATTCCCGGATATTGCCCGTATAACATCGATATACAGAATCAGCGCCCTTAAAGTGACCTAGTCAGGGGTCTCAAAATGTTCGTACTTAGGGACGATACCCCCCTTTCACCGCCTGGTCTAGTGCTGTATCTTAATATTCGATAAGCAAGCAAAAGTAGGGCCAAGAAGAGAAGAGAAGAAGACAATGCTTGTAAGTGTGGTCTTTGTTGTAGTGTCTTTCACACGTACGACTTTCCTATAGATATTGAATGTATTTTTGTTTCTGACAGGTAACATTGGTTGCTCACGGTGACATTCTGTTTGTTGAATGGAAATTTGAAGTCCTAAATAAGCTGTTGAAAAAGGACAAGTTCTTAAGGACTGTTTTTAATTCAATAATTTGTCAAGATGTCACCAAGAAATTAATGTCTCTTACCAAGAGGACAGGATTTTCACATGACCCTGTTGGCTCAGTTTTGTATCTCCACCAAGTTCATCTAGAGAAAAGTGCCAGTGCGTCTAATGGACGTAAGTTGCCTGTAACATTTTATTACCTATTCTTATTGATAAAGACATGTTTGCCATATTCACTTTACAGTTTACAGTTTTGCACCATACCATTGCCAGAGTAAAGGGGACTTGCTGAAGTTAGCAACCATTCTGAACATAAATCCAATTTTTTTAAGGCTATTAAAGATTTGCGACAGTATCCCCTTGAAATTAGCAAAATTTACTTTGCAAAGCAAATACACATGCCTAAGCACTTAGCTTACAACAAATCTACATTTCCAAGCTTTAGTTATTGTTTATGCCTACAATGCTTGCCAAAATTATCTTGATCATCATATATTTTCATATATTTTATATTTTTTTTATTTTCTTGATTTTTAATCTGATACTGATTTATATCTCTCCTATCTTTTTCCCCAAATATGTAGTGAATGTTATAAATGCTTTTGGTGTATAGAACAGGACGGCTCTAGCTTGCTAATCTGAGTTTCACGTTGAAAATAACACAAAAGGCTTTGCCTATATGGCATCGTGCACTTAATGACAGGCCGGTACACAGTGATTTTATTCAATGTTGTATAGATGAGCATCATACAACTTATGATTTCGATAAAGCTTAGGGTTTGCAATTTTCATTCAAGCGGAAAATGGGGTAATTGAATTCAGTGCTGAAAAAGATCCTGCTGTCCCTAAGTTTGGCGATGATTGTACTTGGAAATGGCCAAAAAAACAAGAGACATGTTTTGACTTCTATTGTAGCAATGTCTGTTAGGGAAACCTTGACGGCCTCAAGATATTTGTCTATCAATACAATAAAATAGCAGCCATGATGCAAGCAGAATTTTTGTGAAAAACGTGGCTTGGGTGCATGCGAAATTTGTAACCTTATTGACAAGCAGAAATCATAACTTGTGTTTCCAAATTTGATAATGGATGATGCTCTACAACAGAAACTTTTCAAGAGATAGAATGGTTTTTTGTTAACCAGACTTGTCAGATATCTTCTGTTGTTGTCCTCGTTACAGATTCGTGGTTTAGTACAGCCTCGTTAAAAAATAACAAGGTTGAAAAAATTTTACCTGCTTCACAACCGTGCATCCTTCACAACAATAAATTGTTTGCCTTCTGACCTCAAATAGAAAGTTTTTTACTAATTTTCTCCTATCTTTTTTTTCGATTTTTTTGTTCTTTGGGTTTCTTTATCTGTAGGTCTTATATTGTATTTGGCCATGTCATTAATAATTTGGGCTCTTCTTTTTTGCTAATTTTTTGTTACCAAAACTCATTAAAATACAGTAATTTCGTTCTTTCCCTTGCCACGGTTTTTTCTTGTTTTCCCACATAAGTTGATCATGTTGTTAATAGTTTTATTTTGATTTGTTCAAAAATGGTAGAAAGTTAAGTAGAACTACATTTAGAGAATACATCGCCCGAAGTTGTGTCTGTATAATGGCTAGGCCATAAAATTGGGCATGGCTTTGCCAAAAAGGCAAACCGTTTTAGACACTCCGAAGCTTATCTTCTGACACTTTCAAAAGGTCAGAATAATAATCGAGAATGTTAAGCTAGAATATACATGTACCAAGTTGCCGGTCAAAACTATAGCTCCGAATTTGTTGAGGATATGACTTATTTTGTTATCTGGGAGTGAGCAACATGGTCAGAAATCAAGTTTCGCCATACCGTAAGAAATGAAGTTGAAGATGTAGCTGATCGAGTAGTCTTTTGTAAATGTAAATTGTAACTGACTGCACAAAACACGTCCGAAATAATTTTGATGAAAATGTCCAATCCGTTTACAGATATGGTTTTAAGAAGGAGCTGCGCTACGCAAGACACTGATAGTCTTTTTGAAAACTGCTTGACCCCTAGTGCTCAAGCACACGATAATACACCGTTACTGAGACAGTCTCGCACTGAATTTACAAGCATTGGCGTTGGCATTCACAAAGCAGTGAAGCTCTTCTCTACACCACATCACGAGGAAATCCCGCTTATTGATGACTTCATTGAGTCACGGCTCGATAGTCACAATGATACAGACATAGACCGAGAGACAGTGATATGACGTCATTATAGGTAAGAACTAGTACATTTTAGGTAAACTTTTATATTAGAATGCAACTGCTTAACATCATGTTACAGTCATAGATCTTAGCTTTACGTCCTTTGCAGTCACATGAGCTGTTCACAAATCAAAATGAAGGTTTTTTTGACAAGCATACCGGTAAAATTCATAGGGACAGAAAGATGACAAGCATACTGTTTCTATGGTTTCATGTTTTTGACTTTTCATTATCTTGAAAAAATCCTCAAACAAATGATAAAAAATTCATTTTGTTTTCTTGTCATTATCTGACCGTATGAGATTTTGCTACTTATAAAAGTTTCCGATAATAGGTTACACCCTGCTTTACATTCTACTGGTATTTATTATCCCCATTGTATTTCCTTTCAGTAGCACACCATTCTACATTCTTGCACAAGTAACGAGAGATCGTGCAGACTACTCTGATTACATAGATCACCACTTTAGGCTGTTTGATCGATTTAAGCTTTTAAGTATTCAAGCCTGACTGGCTTATGAAAACGACCATGGTCTCGCTTGCTTTTTCTAGAGGAAACTTTTCAGGCCCTTTATAATTCTCATCCGTATATAGATATCTTTGTAAGTGTGAAAGATGATTCTATAAAATTATTAAGCTGTTCATTGAAATACTTTTTTCTTAATATAATTGTATAATTAAGCAGGTTATTACAGAAATTGCCAGAAAATATCCCCTTAAGAAAATGGCCAGCTCTATATTCCCTTTGTCCAAGCACTAAATTAAACTGATCCGATAATGGTTATAACATAGTCAACGTCAACTACTGATAATTTTTGAAGTCAAAGGAAAGCCAAAAATTTTGTTATAATCTTAAAGTGCCTGTGACATGATTTTTTTTATTCCCTTAATTGAAGCGTTGCATTGCGCTTATAGCATTGCTTTTTTTTAATAAAAGCGTTTTGATATTGAAACTAAGCAAAATATTGCGGCCTAGCCAAGTCGCTTTATCATCATTCGCTGTTCTCTTGTGACGTCATGGGAGGAACTCGTTATTGTAACAATGTAAGCGCTACCTTCAAAAATCTTATCCTCGCTGCCACTACTTTCTCTGGAAATATCGCTCATCTTGGACCTGTTAGATTTCCCTCATTGACTACGATACAAAATCTCGAAGGAGGAGGCGATCGGGTCCCTCCCGTGACGTCACTGTCTACTCATTCTGAAAACCAAGATGGCGAATTTTGGCGTAGAAGATTGCCAATAACTCCTTCATTTCTCACGAAACGTAAAAACTAACCTCAGAAATGAAAATAACAGGCCTTTTTACATAAGAATAGATATATAAACCCAAAAGTACGAAAATCATGTCACAGGCACTTTAAGTTCATACTAATAGAAAATTTTAGTTCTGATTTGGTTCAAATTTAGAAAAATTGTAAGGCAGTCGAATTATCGTACTTTCACGTCTATAAAAGTTAATTTTACAAAAATTTGCGAAGACATGTCTGAAGGAATCATTCGATTCTTTTACCGTGGAGAAGCTTTGCTTCAATCTACATGTAATGTAAATAGTTCTCGTGTTTTAAAGTTGTTGATATATTAACCTTTACTTTTCTGATTTGAGAAATCAACTTCCTTTTCAAATATCAGTATAAACTAAAATGTAATTCTATGTTGGCCTTGCAAGCTGTGGATGTAATCTTAGGTAATATAGACACCTTAGGTAATATATAAAGATTGCTATTAGTATAAGTCCTGTATCCACAATTATATTTGTTGTTCAAAAGTCAATTAGCAACCTGGATTTAATCAGAGTGTTAATAGGTTAGAAATGCGATTCATTTGTTGAAAATATTTGAAAGGCGTTGATAATACGATGATTTTTATTCACTTGATCTCTCATTTTGATCTATGTTCATTTAGAGTGATTCTCGTAACTTTAAGACATGTGAATGAGAATCATTATTTTTTCATCGATGCGAAAAGGTCTCCAATTTTTATACGTATGGGGATAAGAAAGTATTGCCATCGCTTCTCAGAGTTTTTCCTTTTGTCCGTCTCAATTTCATGGTGCTCATTTTGGAAAAAACTGGGCGCTATTGTACAAGCACCCAAACAAGCACGGCTCACTCCTCAATAATGCCAATAAATTCGCTGTGCCCCACCTCAACCTGAGCCATAAAGAGATAATTCTCCCTTGGGAAGTTTCTTTTCGTCGCGTAGACATGCAAAACGTCTTCTGGGAGATTGGCGTGGCATTAATGTAATTTTGAAGCATCAATGTATTCCCAGGGTAATGCAAGCGTTCTTTTTCGAACTTTTGTTCGTGCTGTATTTGATGCGTTGTGTTAAAAGGCACAGAACCAGCGCTGACCATGTTATTAGAAGCGAAAGGTTGTGTTGGATATCGCATTCGGAGAGTAAAGGAGCTTTAATGCCGAGAGCCGTGTTATGCTTGGGGCGGTATTGAAGGACTGGTTATTTGAAGAAGCTGAATTCTGAACTTAGATGTCCAGAAACCTTCAGTCGACAATTGTATTTACCCACGGCCACGGTGGACATTTTTAACCGTGTAGTCTTTGGAGTTCTATACCAGAGACTTGGAACCTCTGCAATTATTTATGTGTATAAGAAATGAGACGAATCGATTGGTTGTCGTGGATCTCAGTTTCTGGTCGACCTTTACGACGAATTGTTGAAGAAGGACACCAATTAAACCGTGAAACAATTGGAACGACTGATGATGACAAGGGCTTCATCTGTTAGACGATTCAGGGCGTTGTAGCAGAAAATCCTGTAGAAGTAAGATTTTTCATGTTTTTTTTAAAGCTATAGAAAAATTTTGTCAACATTTTTTGCTAATCTGCCAATAATGCCAGATAACTTATATTTAGGCATGATGCTTGAATTTTATCTTGAAATGTATCGATATTCTTTATTAAGGATAGCAAAATTTTTTCCGCTGAAAGTTTTGTCCAGCCTAAATTTGGAAGCGAATATTTTTCCTAAAAAAATATGATTTTTAGCTATGCGTCAAGGAACCAAGAAGCAAAAAATACAATGTTTATGCAACTAAATATCTAATTGGGAGGAAAGTTATATTTTTAAAACCTTCTTCGGTCGTATCTTGTTCTTTTGAACACGATACGACTTCTTCGGTCGTATCTTGTTGAGAACATCTTGTTCTCAACACAATAAATGAAGTTAAAAAGAGAATCATCATTTGAACTATAATTTTGTCTTGAGTTCTATATTTGGCTTCATCTATAAGAAACGTTATCAAATCGATATATTTTCCAGTATGGGTCCGTTGTTATAAAATGGGGATTTTTTTAATAAAATGGCCAATCACTCATGGAAAATATTCCATCTATAAAAGGTGGATTTAAACCGTTAAATTTTAGACATTTCTATCGCAAAAAATCCACGGGATTTGCCATTTTTTGAGAAACCTTTTTTAAAGTAAAAATTAAATCTTAGGGTATCGATTTTGGCAATACGAAACATGGTCAAAAATTTGGGATTGATTTTCACCATGACATTAAATTTCGGGGTATCATTTTTATAGAAAAGTAATATATCTTCATTTACTCGATTGAGTTGTTAGATTTTTGCAAATTTGAATTAAATTCAAGGGTTTGCATTTCATATTGTATCTAAGTTTTCGGGTAGGGTTATTGAAAAGATCATGAATTTCAGGATATGTCTTCATATTTCCAAAATGGCACACCCCTGTTCTCTGCCTGTTAAAGTTACCTCTCCCCGGGCAGTTAGCTCATTTGTATCAGTACTTGACAGCCAAACTGAAGTCTCGTCCGCAGAGTTGCATAGGTTGTTTTTGTTCAAATGAAGAAATATGTTGTTGATGTAGACCTCAGAAAGCAATGGACCTAATAATGATCCTTGAGATACTCCCTGCTTTGTTTCCATCAAATCACTAGACTTAAAGTTTATTTAACTCGTTGTACTTTTTTATCTAGATTTCTAGGCATTTATTTAATTGTGATTTTGCTGAAACCAAAAATTTTCATTTCGACGGTAGCAGTATATGAGATAAACAGTCCATGCTTTTGCTTTTGATAAGTCCACAAGCACTGCGCCAGCTCATCCCTTTGATTCGGGCAGTTTTTCGAATCTTCAGTACGTCGTTATAGGGTGTGCTTGATGCTCAAAGCAGAGGGAACAGTTTCATTAAACATGATTCTCTCAAATATATTTGAAGCTGATGGGAGCAAACGTATTGGTCCATAATTCTGTTTACTTATGAAGTGTCATTTCTTAAAAACAGGGAATAAACTAGCCCTTCTCGTAAGAAAAGGAAGCGTTTTATCGGAAAAAAGTCGATTAAATATATCAGCTAGTGTCGCAGAGACGATCTCTATTGCCATTCTGAGACTTTTCGTCGGAATGTTTTTGTCTTCTGTTGTCTTCTTCAAGGTAGCAAATGATTCCTCTTATATCTTCGAGAGTTAAATTTTTAAAGTCAGCTTGAGGAAATTTGTTAAATGTTTCTTTGTCCTTATACTAATTATCTAAATTTTTATCGAAGCACTTCAATCGGTCAAGTTAAACCCAATTTTTTGTACGGTATAAGCTAGTTTATGGTGGTCTGACAAAAACCGCTGTTTAAGTGGATGTGTTTCTCTTTTACTAAGATCAAGTGATAACATTCTAGTGGGTTACGTTAGTGGCATGTTGGTTCCTTCACCAAATATTCTTGATTATAAACTTCCATGAAGTGCTTTTTATGAAAAGAACAGGGTTCCATATTATGTCTCCAAGTATTAGAACTTTTTCATAGCTATAAAAATTGTTAAGAAAATTTGCTAAATCCATCAAAAAAGTTATTTATTATAGAAGCTGAAACTGTTGGGCTCTATCTTTTCTCCAAAAGTACAAAAACTTGTTTTGAACTTCTTTTTGCTTGACCAATAGCTAGATTCGTTTTCAATTTTCTCTGTGCTAGAACTGATGAAGCAAATCTTAGTTGTCGCCAAAAACGAAATAAACAAAATCAAATTAAACAGCTCATAAAACAATTTTTGAATTCTAATCAAAACATGATTTGGGTTAAATTTGTAACGACGAGATAAACTGTACATGCAAAAGTTTGTTAATTCAATAAAAGCCTCGAAAAATCAGACTTATTGTCGATAAATATATGTTACAAGAGCAGGGCCGTTACAACAACATGGGTTACCAAAAAAGACCAATTTACCATTTATTTTCAAAATCTCTCTTGGTATCATAATGCCATGGTGCTGCACGCCATAGTTTAAAGAATTATTGTCGTTTTTTGTCACAAATAGCCTTAAATTTACATCTTGACCCGCCATAAATTTCTTCTTTCCTAAAAGGGTTGTGAGTTTGAAGAAAATAAGATAGAGTTAGGAATGTCATCAAGGAAAGGCTATCTAGTTGCAGAACTTCACAAAAATTTTAATGAAAAGGGAAGGAAGTGTATTCTAACTATTTATCAAATGCAGTCTTCGTTAGATAAATAGAATAAGAAAACAGCCTAATTAATCGGTTATTTAAAGAATGACAGGTACTGAATGTTTAAAAAAACTTAAACTTCTTTAAACATCACATTACCCAGCCAAGACAATTTCAAGGTAATGCAAAGCCCATGTACATTGACAAAATTTTCTTAAACTCTGTTGAATATTAAACAGTAAGTGGCAACTTAATAGAAAAAAATATCTTATCATATGCCAAAAATTGTATTCTGCTACAACCAAAATCTCCAAACGACTAATAGGCAAATGCAAGTGCAAGGTTATTCGAATGCAGCTTCTACCAAATTTTTACGAAGCCGAATTACTTGCTTTCGACAAACATAGGTATATATGCTTTGAATTTGAAGACTTATGTTCAACATTCATAACTATGATAAGCTAATTGATGAGCACAGAACAACCACTTACTGATCAGTAGGCAATCACTATACCTCTCTCAAAGTTGCATCAAATACACTTACTGTCAAAAACATGGTTGCCAACTGCCTACTGGGGGCCATATTTGAGAGATCTGGCTTTTTTCAAGAATGTTTGGCTACGTAATTTTACCTTTGGCCTCATTTTGGCTATTTTTGGCCTTCTAAAGTATATGAGATTGAGAAAAAATGAGATTAAAACCTCAATGAAAATAAAAAAATTAGATGGCCATAACATGTATATACCCTTTATGAAAAAATAATTATTCTTGGAACATAACAGTTTTTGTCGAGGGACACTGCCTATGAGCCAAACAGACACTTGAGGTGGTATTGATATAATCTAAGTGTGATGAACGTCTGATTTGCTTATGCAATGACGTGAAGTCTTGCCCTGGGTACCAGATTTATTCTATATGAAATGAAAGAGGGTCTGATACCCTGGGTAGTGAAGTAATCGCTATAGCATATTTTTCAACACTTGATTGACTAACGTTTTTAGTATTTCCTTTGAATAGTCTATTGAAATAGAATTAGCAATATATCAGTAATCAATAACTCGCGTAAGTAACAGCAGACATTGATCTACACATGTGTAACAAGTTAAAATAGATAGTGAACAAGCCTTTATTTTTCTCGAGTTTTTAATCTATGGATAAAATAAAAATGTAGGCAGCGAAATAAGGGCACACAGACCCTATCAGAGGACATTACTATTTCTGAATACCTTAGCTGATTTGCTTTTTCTAAATGTAGTTTAAGTTATGCTCTCTTTTATTGATAACTTCTTTTTACTATAATTTGGTGTAACCCATACAATATGTCATTCAAATGTAAAGTTATTAATCGATTTCGTCAATAGAGTTTGGAATACATTTGTTAATTTTTGGAAACTTGTTATGTTTATGCATTGTTTAGAGGTGATTTTGCATGTAACGGTTCTAAATTTATTTTTTTTCCACCATGTAGTAAGGAATATAGGAATATTTTTACTGCACTTGCGCAATATAACGTCATTATTTTAGGGTAAATTTGGCCTATTTTGACGTGATTTCGCCTGTTTTCATAAAGAGTTTGGCTACATAGTACCCAGACAACCTGGCAACCCTGGTCAAAAGGTAGTGCTTTTGAACACTTTCGATGAAAGAACTATGGCGTCCCGTTGGATTCACTTTGGCAACGGAAGCTTGTTCAGATATGAACAATCTTTTTTACAAATAATCTAGGTCTATTTATCACCAAAATGTGGTTGAAAGTTGGGAACACTTCAACTTTGGTTATCGGCCTTGGCAATAATTTAGAGATGTCTAAATTTAGAGATGTCCAAACGAATTCAATTTACTGGATCAACGAAAACGTTACAAATACATGAAATTACTGAATTTACTCAAGCTACTTTTAGAACTGCATAACACTAAAGAGAAAGCCACAGTACTCGTCGGCGACGATAAACTTTTGCTTCAAGAAAGCATTTCCTTCAAAGAAAATTGGTATTTCTTATGATTTTTAAAGCCACGTTTTTGCTTTGGTCCCAAGATTTAGTATACGTCTCTCGTAAGTACCTTTCGTCTCTCGTCATAAACTTCTTCAATCTGCCAACTTTTGGTAAATTTTTTGCTCTACTTGTACGGAAAGACTTTTTACCAACGAGGTGTATAGAATCTCATTGCTTTTCTGCACACCAAAAAGCTGCACATATTGAGCACCCAAAAATTTCATGGTTGACATTTTTTGAACTGTTCGTTGTACAGAAAAAACTTCGAAACATCAACAATGCCTTGCGAAAGTTGTATTGAAATAGCTGCAGTACCTTTTTAAAAGTCTTGCCAAATTTTTTGCTTAAAATGTCTTTGAAATCTCGAAGTTTGCCCCAATACTTTTTTAACGCAAGCTACTACTAAAACTCCGCCAAGACCCCAAAAGAGCTCTTGATGTCGATAGCCTCGCGTTTGACCACGATTTCAGCCTCGAGTTGAATAACTCTTCAAAATGGCTGAAACGGTAATGATCTGTTCGTGACCATTTCAGTGTTCGAGATCAGTGTAGTGTTCACTAGAGCATTAGGGCCAATTTTTCGCTTATTTTATTTGCTAAATTGTGAACGGAATCCAATATGCCGCTCAGTTTTCCAGGGACTGTTAAGAATGTAAGTATATGAATTTCCTAACGAAGACGTTTCTTTGCAGACCAGCTTGCAAAATATGCCTATTCATTTTGTTTGGCAGCCCTTTGGGCTTAGGGTCAAATATGGCACTGGCTCAGGTATGGAAATTGTGGTCATATATAGTCTAACCATTTTTGATTTTATAAATGGAAACTGAGCCCGGTTTTAAAGCCGAATGCAGTTATTGATCCAGTCAATATTATTGATTCAATGCTTCCTCATATGCAACCAGGGGCAATTTTCGAGAATTGGTGACGAGCGTAGGTTGTATACAACATTTTCAGACCCTTTCTACTGACAGAAGGCTCTCTATTCACTTTGAAAGGAAATTTTCACAATAATTGTTGCATACTTTGAGGTAATCCTTGAAGTAAATTAACCTTCAAGTCTCAGAAACCTTTGTCACCTGATTTTCATTCTTCGAAAGAGGCGCACAATTTCCAAAAAAGGACGCCAGACTTGCTTCAAATCGGCTAGGGTCCCTAGCCTAGGGATGGGCAACTGCTCCTAGCTGCCCCCCCCTTAAATCCACCACTGTATGCAACATAGGCATTTCACTTGCAACATAGGCATTAAGAAGTTTGATCTTAACAGAGTTGTTCTTTCTGCTGAAAATTCTGTTGAGCGTTTTATAAGCATTAGTTGCCAAAATCTTTCTTCTGTTGATACCTTTTCCTGAACCGAGTAAACTTTTTAAATTTTTCCATCGTTGGTTTCTTTTTAGTTTGATGTTATATTCGTCCGTTTTAGAATTAATTAGTTGTAGGCTTCTTTCTTCAAGTTTAATAGGAACGGTATTTTTTATATGACATATTTGATGTTCTGCAGTAGATGCCCATGTTATATCATCATTATACTTAATAACACTGCTTAAAAATGTATTTTTACTAAGACCAAAAAAGTATTGTAAGATGCTGTTAGTCTGGCAAGTACTATTGAGGCATTGATCCTTTTCCCTGCAATTGCAGGTTATCTCCTTGCTGCTCCTACGTTCAACATAGAGGCCATTGTTGTGGGTCTTAATAGAGTTCTCAAGTGTGACGTTACAAATTTTTTTTAGAAGAATTTTGACCAAACACCATAAAATTCTCTTATTTATGCAAAATCAGTTAAATTTGTCAAAAATCGAGTGAGCTATGGCCAATAGAAGATCTGGAGTTTGCTAACAGATTACTGTTATTTGTGCTCAGTTCATAAAGTTGTTAACGGAGACCAAATTATAGAGGTTTGATGGGACCAGATCTTGTGCTCATCTGGACATACCTCAGCTATTTTGTAATAACTTTAACTGATTTTGTAGATTTTGAGGTATTGCATGATGCTCTTTCAGGATATGGGAAACAAATTTCAAAAGTTCTAAAAATAGATTTGTGTGATGTCATCACTTGACAAATCTATTAGGCTGTGTTCACACTGCACAATCTTATGAAAGGCCTTCAGTCGCTATGAGATAATTTCTGTAGTGTTCAAATTGCCAAATACAAAGACGCTAATTAAGGTTACGGTAAACGTTTTCTGGATGAAAACATAATTTTTTCGATTTTTTCACATTCAAGTAGCTGAACTTTCAAGGCACACAATGATATCAAATTTGAAACAAACAGAAATTTTGGAAGTGGAAAAAATCCCATGTAAACGAAGGTTTCCATAATTTCTTTATCAAAACTTTTAGTTAAGGCCTGAAAATCTCTTGACCTGTTAAGCCGATTATGGTTGCTTTGCGGTTGTGGTCGCATGTCTCATTTACAATATCGCATGGCACATCCATATATCCAATGTACAGCCGGCCATGTTTATTTAAACAGGCTTATTGATCTTAAATCTTCAAGTGCCTTGACCCAGATTACACTGTGGTTTACGAGGGTATCTTGCAAGTGCGATCAGTAAAATCCAGTTTTCTCTGGACTCTAAATTCCTCTACATGCAGGTACAAAAAAGCTATTATGTACCCAAGGAGCCAATCGAATGGCTTGAAAATTTGCACACGGCCAGGGCAGACGTTGGGCAAACCAATTGTGTCTCAAAATTTTTTTCTTTTCTCTGGTCCGTCTTTTATACCCAAATACAGCTGCGGGAGGGTGGAAAAATTATTTGCCAATTTTTGACAGGGTATAGTTTCAAGAAGAGGAGGAATTTAAAAAATCTGAGACACACTTTGGTAGCTTAGGACCTGCTTGTCAGTTATGCGATTTTGCTTGTCATTAAGCTGCCAGGTTAGTTACAAGCTCGTGCAGGCAAGGAGTCACCCATTCAATCGCTAAACAACCAGCTTCTAGGGGTTATTTGACAAGATGGGTTGATGGATCCACTGAATTCTCCCTCTTTGGATCTCATTTCATCTTCAGTTTTCTGCTAATGAATGATTGTATTTCAATTACATTTCAAATTCTTGTATTTGAAATTTGGCAGTCATGAACGCATTTTAAACAGAAGAATTATTATGAATAATGCCATTGCACAAGTTTTTAATAGCGGCCAATATGAATAGCCAAAAGTGGGAGCAATATGAATAGGCTGAAGAAGACATGGGCGAAACTCAGCAGCTATAACAACCTGCTGGTTAGTAATGGTAAATGGTCCCTAAACTCACATTTCATCTACTTCTAAATCTAGCTATTATACTAGCATCAGTATATCCTGCTACAATATTGTTATCAGCAAGGTAGCAAAACTTTAGAACAACTTCAATTGATTCACCATCCAGGTATACTCTTGCACATAAACTGGCTGATATCCTTTGGCCTACTTGAAATTCCACTAAACCTCTTATATACCCAGTGCTTTTGAGTTTCACAAAAGATTAACATTATTTTGCTTCAAAGAGGAGTTTTTCTGAACTGGAGAATCCATGCCTAGTAATTTTTTGCTTTGCCACCTTTCTTTGTTTCAAAGGCCATGTCACAAGTTTCAAAGGCCATTGAATAAAACGTTTCTAACGATAAAAGTCAAAAACGGGGTGTTTCACACCCCA